ACATTTATCAAATATCAGAATGAATCAGATCTAACAATTATGATTCTCTACTCACAAATTTATGGGGCGTTTTCGTTATTTTAGCTTGGCTACAGAAATCACATTTATCAATTTCATTCATTGAGAGTTTAGGGATATGTCCTAGCTTGCTTAAATTCTTCACAATTCGTGTGTTCACATGACAAAGACGAGCATGACAAACATTCAAATCACACACCATGTAAACTGAAGAATTCATCTTATTAATTTCGACATTCAACTTGAACATCCCATTACATGCATATCTCTTTCCCACAAAACTCTCATTCTTAGTAAGGGTATACAAGTATGCCCCAATAGATTGATTAAACCCAACCTTATTAAGAAGATATCCCAAAACAAGATTCTTCCTTATCTCTGTAGTGTGCAACACATCCTTGAGCACCATCTTCTTCTTAGAGGTGAAGTTCAGCTCCACTTCACCAGAACCAGCAACCATTGTGGTGTTAGTAGTCCCCAGCAACACTTTCTTGTCAGCAGGTGCTTCTATGTATATTTTAAACATAGCACGATTGTTGCATACATGCTTCGATGCACCTGTATCTAGCCACCATCCTTCTGAGTCACTGGTGAGGTTGACTTCAACGATCATATCCGTGGCCATGGCTATCAAATCTTCTTTTGTCAAGTTAACTCTGGCCGCAGCAGAAGGGTTTTGCTTGTTCCTGCACTTTTATATGACCTAGTTTACCGCAGTTATAGCAGATAAACGGTGGGTCATTCTTAGAGGTTTGGGCCATGACCCTTTGGTTACCGGCATTGTCGTCGATGTGCACAGCATACTATCAACCAGTCGTCTCCAAGATAAAACAACTCCTCGAATGCTTGGCGGTTTTGAGCGAGTCTCAAGTGAACCAACCCACCGGTCGGACAGACGGCGCGCGCGTATGTGTGGTGGTTCGTTAGGTCATCCCTCTCCTACAATAGCAGGTGCTTCTATGTATGTTTTAAACATAGCACGATTGTTGCATACATGCTTCGATGCACCTGTATCCAGCCACCATCCTTCTGAGTCACTGGTGAGGTTGACTTCAGCGATCATATCCGTGATCATGGCTATCAAATCCTCTTTCGTCAAGTTAATTCTGGCCGCAGCAGTAGGGTTTTGCTTGTTCCTGCACTTTTATATGACCCAGTTTACCGCAGTTATAGCAGATACACGGTGTGTCATTCTTAGGGGTTTGGGCCATGATCCTTTGATTATCGGCATTGCCGTCGATGCGCACGGCAGACTATCAACCGGTCGCCTCCAAGATAAAACAACTCCTCGAATGCTTGGCGGTTTTGAGCGAGTCTCAAGTGAACCAACCCACCGATCGGACAGACGGCGCGCGCGTATGTGTGGTGGTTCGTTAGGTCATCCCTCTCCTACAATAGTGGGTCACCCCAAGAGGCATGCCCTTAGAAGAGAGTCCTATTTTTATACACATTTCACCAAGTAATGGTAGTTTTACCACTTGAGACTCTATAGCTTTCAAGACTATTCATACATTTACAACAGGAACTGGATTTAGGTCTTGTATTGTGGAATTGTGATGTTGTTGCTCTGTTCTTGGGGTCAAATACGCAGGGGAAGGATTCAGATCGAGAAAGGAAAATCGAAGAGGGATTAGAGTTTGCAGTTAGTGTTTATTTGATGAACCGAGAGACTCGGGCGTCGGAGAGCCGGGCCGAAGTTCGACGATGGTGGGAATTTGAACTTACTGTTTTGTCATTAATTTTTTGTGACCAGTGCTTTATTTATTGGGTTCACATTTAAGTATCGATTGCCATGGAACTAGAGAACTTGACTATCGTGTACTAGTGTAGCAGATTTGATTGTATTAAAAATGGTTCATTTGAATGGGTTGTTAAGGTATTTGGGCATCTGGCATTACCATTCATGATTCTGGATTTTTAATGGTCTGGTCGTGATATTTTTAAGTGATTTTCCAGAAGCAGAAGCAGGTGATATGAATTTTCTAACACCTCTGCATTTGGAAACCTTGTTGACACAGGGGCATACGTCATGATACAACAGCCAGTTCTGAAACTGGGGATTACAAATAATGAATTTAGCTTTACAAGCAACAACGACACAAGCGACAGCCGGATTGGTGCTTTGGGAAGGATTAGTCGCTACGAACGACGATGCCAGACCACTGGACAAGAATCGTGGCCGCTCACTGGGAAGAAAAGAATATTTACTGTGGAAGACTTCTGTTGCGAACTCACAAATTACAATCCGACTCGTTGACCCGACCCGAAATCGTCCGAAAACTAGAAATTTTTGTAATCCGAAATCCAAATAACCCGAACCTGATAACCCGTGATTTTTTGTGTCGGGTTGGGTGAGTTAGCGGGTCGACCCGTTAGACCTGTTCCAGTTAATATATCACTCTCAAAATACGATAAAATCACTCATAAATTGGTGAGATGTTTAAAAAAAATTACAGGATTTGAATGACATGTTTGGAGTTTAAGGATAATCAAATATCATGTGTTTCTTGTAGTAGAATTACTCTTTTGATTGTTTTTTGACGATTTGAGCAATTTATATTTCATTTCATTAGCATGGGAGGACTTGAGAATATGTTAATTGACATGTGTTAGGTAAACTATTGTCATGCATATGTGAACATTTGTGTTCTTTAAAAAAATATTAAGCATGTTTGATATTGTTTGTGAGAACACTTATAAATCAAAATGCTTGTAACCCGACCCGAAACCGAATAGGTTGGGTTAATATTTAACCCGAAATAAGCCAACCAAAGATGATCCGACCCGTAACCGAAGTTTCCAACCCGAAATTACTCAACCAGACTCGATTGTCACGTCTAGCCAGAAGAAACTGGGGAATTTGATGGGGATTGGGAAACTGGACGTTGGCCACTGGGAAGAATAAGAACTGACGCTTAAACATGATTGATTGTCTCTGTGGGTGGGAGGAAGAACTGAATAAGTCTCTCTTGGTGTGAAGAAGAGGAAGAGGGGAAACCGGGAAAAGAATCGGAAGAAGAGGGTTAGACTTAGGGGTTTTATTTCAATTATCAATAAGTTTAAATTCTTCTAATAAATATAAGGGCAATGTCTATTTTTCAATGTTGTCAAAGCCGAGCCGGAATATGACTCGGTAACGTGAACGGCTCGGTCATTAGTGGTCCAGCCGGCATTAGACCGTTTAAAAACCGTTTGAGAACCGGTACCTAAGTAAATTACTCTCTTAAACCATTCTAGAACATCAGTACTGAAAGATCTAAAATTCAATTCCAAACCACCACATTGTTGGGATAAAAGACCATATGTCAATAAAACATTTTGTCAGTTTGCATCAATAGTCAGTTTATGATGTGTACCCAACTTGTGTCAACCTAAACTCACATGACCACTGCACCAATACCCTTTTCTGCATGCCCTACCTACTGATCTGATCCATACCATTCATTCATTCATGTAAATGTAAATAATCACATTCACAGCTCACAGTTCACAGAAGAAGAAGAAGAAGAAGAAGAAGAAGAAGAAGAAGAAGAAGAAGAAGAAGAAGAAGGCCCGCAATCATCAAATTCACAGCACAGATTGGTGGATGGCCAGATTGTGGTGGGGGAGATGTTGCGGCAGGAACATGGGCTGCTTGCGACGATGGCGACGGAGACAGAAGCGCCGGGAGCGGGGAGCAGAAGCAACGATGGCGACTGGCGATGACGCGCTGCTTGCGACGATGGCGATTGGACGGAAGCGCTGGGGCGATGGCGAGTTAGGGTTTTTTTTGGCGAGCTGGGGCCATGGTTGACGACGGCGGCAGAGTGGCGCCGCTCTCCCTCTGTCGTCTGTTCTACTTCTAGGTCGAAAATGAAGAGTTAAAATGAAAGTTAGGGTTTTGTTTGGCTGCCCCATTCCACGATTGGCCTTCTCTATTTTTTTTTTAAGGGTAAACCAAACGGCCAAACCGCGTGACCGGCTTGAGCGGCTCGAACGGTTAACCGCTTCGGCTGCTCGCCGGTCGCTGTATAAAACCGTGGGGGTTAAATAGCTGATCCAAGCCGGTTTTACGGCCGGGTGGCGGCTTTGGCGGTCCGGTCCGGCCGGCTCGGTTCGGCTTTGACAGCACTGCTATTTTTTACCCAAACCTTTTCAAACTTCTTTTATTTAACCCAAACCTATCAAAATTCTTTTTATTATCCAATCGTTACCCCACCGTTAACTGTTCTGTTACATTTATTGACTCAGCAACATCCGAATGAGGTGGAATCCTACGTGGTGGTCTATTTTTAATTAAAAAAAATGATTTGTAAAGTAAAATAACCGCGTGAGTAAAGTAAAAAAAAGAACCATTTGATTCCCATCTTCTTCTGTCTCCCCCAGCTTCTCCTTTCCATCGGCCGACGAAGCATCATTCTCCAGCAAGCGAGGCAGTAAGCGCTGCCATCGCCTGTTAAACCTCCCCGCTCCGACGGTCCCAGCACCTAGCGCTGCGCTTCCATCTCTCCCCCCCGACGTGCGACCGATAATCGATCTGAAGCAAGGCAACGGGCTGTCGCCGAATTGTTGCAGAGAAAGCAAGCAAGGGACTGTCGCCGAATCGCTTCCATCTCTTCCGGACAGCTGTCTCTGTTCGAGCAAGGTAAGTTGGTTCTAGGTTTTCGATTCAAACCCTAATCCTTCTGAAATTTTGGTTCAAAGACGAAATCCCTTCTCCATATTCGAACCCTTTTACGAACCCTAACCTGTGATTTTGGTGTATTTTGATAGCGGTGTGATTTTGTGGTTTCAAACCCTTAACCTAATTCTAACCTTTTGCTACAGATGCTGAATATACCAATCTTGATTTCCATCATGGAGGAGTGATGGATTTTTCTGGTGATTCCCCAAAGTATGTTGGAGGGTTTTCGGAGAAGTTCAAGGTGGATGTTGATGAAATGTCCTAGTTTGGGATTATGTCTTTGTCCACTGGATACTTGAACTACTACGGAGTCCGGAAGATGTGGTACTTGAATCCTGGAGCCACAATGGCAGAGGGATTGCACGAAATCATGACCGACAAGGAAATCATGGAGGGTCTGCCGGTTGATACAGCACAGACTAAGGAGGTCTCACTGTTTGTTGATTGTGTCGAGGCTGATGACTGTTTGATGGGTGACAATGACACTGCGGACAACATAGCAAGGCTTGAAAAGGATGATGACTACTTTGAAGTGGGGGAAAATTCGGCTGCTAAGGAGATAATGAAAGTGGCTGACTCTGACTCTAGTGATGAGGAGTCATCTGAGAAGGAGACTCATCTTCCAATGGTCAACAGTCGAGATAGTGAAGCAGGGGAAGAGGTGGATCAGCCTATGGGAGATGCTGGTGACATGGACGAGGAAGAAGATGATGGAGACTACATTCCTGATGAAGATGAAGAAGATGGTGAAAATGAGGCTTCGGTTTCTGCCCATAGAAGAACAGGTTTGTTGGATGAGGAACCCGCAGATATGTTTGATGATCTGTCTTTCTACGATCTAAATTGTGATCACAAAGCGTTGGAGTTCACAGTTGGGATGAAGTTTTTGGATGTTGAAGACTTTAAAAAGGCAATCAGTAAGCATGGTGTGGGTGCTGGGGCTAGTTTGTGGTGTAAAAAAAGTGATGAAAGTAGGAGGGAGTACAGGTGCAAAGACCAGAATTGTTCTTGGAGGGTTTATGCTGCCTGGTGGTCAGGGAATGCGTTTTTTATGGAGGGTGAGAACAAGAGTTCTTGGAAGTGGTTTCTAGAGCATTTGCAAGAGGAGTTGGGATTCGGGGACGGGGTTGGATGGAGCGTAGTTTCTAACCAGCAAAAGGTATTCCCAACCTTGCTGTTTTTTACATATATAAAGCATATTTTGTGGATTTGCAAGCTCGTAGTTGAAGCGTAGTTTCTAAGATTTGTTCTTTTTTTTATTTCAGGGGTTAGTTGAAGCAATCAATCTAGTTATGCCTAGTGTCGAGCATCGAAAGTGTGCCTGCCATGTGTTTGCAAATTGGAAGGTCAAGGTTAAGAATGAGAAGATGCGAAAGATCTACTGGGAGGTAGTTTATGCATGTAATGTGCCAGAGTATGAGGCTGCCACGGCCAAAATGGAGGCTTTCCAAAGTGCACAAGCAGTAATGACCTCATTTTCAGACTTTATGGAGCAAGACCCCAAGTCTTTTTGTCGTGCTTTCCTCTCTCGACTCCCAAAATCAGACTCTGAGGAAAGCAATATTTGTGAGAGCTGGAATAATGTCATTGTGAAGGCAAGGGAGTATCGGATAATTGCAATGTTAGAGGCCATTAGAGGGTACATATGGTCCAAATGAGGAAGAAACGTAAGAAGTTTGAGAAGATGCAGTCAGTTATATCTTATATGTCCAGCTGTCATGAGTACAATCACTACAGAGGATTTGAAGGCTAGGATGTGTGTTGCTAGAGCTAGTTCTGATTTTGTTGCGGAGGTTAGTTATAGGGCAGCGGCATATATTGTGAATTTGCAGGCTCGTAGTTGCACTTGTGGGGCATGGGATTTGAGTGGCATTCCTTGTCGCCATGCACTATCTGCTATAGGGTTAATGAGGCAAGAGTTGGAGGACTTTGTGCACACTTCATTCCTCGTATCAACCATTCGGAAAGCATATTCTGGTAGCATACCTGATATGGTAGGGCAACAGGCATGGCCAGCTGCTGATGGTTATCCAGTTCACCCTCCCATTTACAAGAAAATGCTGGGGCGTCCGAAGAAGAAAAGAAGAAAGGAGGCAGGTGAATTGGAGACGACTTTGCATAGGAATGGAAGGCCTACTTGTACAGCAGCCAAAAGAGTGGGAATGGTGATGCATTGCACCAATTGTGGGGCTTCTAGGCACAATTCCAGAAAATGCCCCAACCCTCCTCGCGATGCTGCTGACCATGGTACTGGAGGGAGAGGCAGGGGGAGAGGAACTGATTCTACAAGAGGGAGAGGCAAGGGCGGGGGGAGAGGAAGAGGGCAGCAGCATGGTGGCTCAAATCCACCTAAGGTACAACTCTGACCAGACCTATATCCACAAATGTTTGCTATATTTTTACGCTAACTTGCTTATTTGCTTTGAAAAGAGGGTTCAACATTGTGGTGTATGCAAGTCAACAAAACACAATGCTAGGAAATGCCCAGATAACAGAGGAGCACAAGTAAGCATGCTTGATTTTAGTTTATCTTGTGCTAGAATGCATCACTCCTCACTGAATAATTCTGTTGATTGGTGTAGGCTGGAGCATGTCAGCCTCTTCATAGGAACTTGGTGGTTGATAGAGAAGTCAGGGATGCTCTAGGTGGAGAGGCAATATATACTGATCTGGAAGTTGTAGCTGGTACATCTGCGACTGGATTGGGAGCTCAACAAACTGAGTTTGATGATACTCAAGGGCCATCTACTCAGCCACCATCTCATCCTCAGGAATGAGCTTTATATAGTTGCTAGATAACTTGTGTAGGGTATGATGTTTATGTAGTTGGTAGATAACTTAGGAAGGGTATGAGATGATCAAACTGAATGAGCTTTTGTGGTGACTCACTTTGTTCACCCTCTTTTGTATTTTGTAAAAGCTCGATTCATCTTGCAACATCTTTCACCGTTCTAGTAGTGAATTTTAGGTAGTATGTTGTGTTAGCAGGGCATGATGAAACAGATTGAGCTTTTGTGGTGACTTAGGTCAGCCTCATTGTATTTTGTAAGATCTTGATTCATCATGTACCCTCCTCTTTACTTATCAATGACAGGGATGAGGTCAATTAATACTATCGCAGATACATTAGTTTGCCACAACAATCAATCTTACATTTGGTACATGTTTGCCACAGCAGTGAAACTTACATTTTGAACTTAGTTTCCACAATCAAACTTACATTTTGAACTTGCTTGCCGCAACAGTCAAACTCCCTGAAATCTACATAATGCGACAAAAGCAATGACACAAATTACACAGACCATCAAGCTTCTTATCCTACTATCTAGACTACAAATCACATTGCTCAATCTGATCATCTTCGATATCATCCTTGCTCGATCTTCTTTGGTCCTAAGCAACTCTTCTGACAACTTCCTATTCATTTCTTCAGATTCAATAAGTTTTGCTAACAAGTCACCCCATGATCCATTCCTGATCTGCATTTCATACACATCCACCCATATGAAGAACCTGCAGTCTTCAGTCTAAAAAATCAAGAGTTAGGAATGGCAATGGCTATTTCGAATTTAGGTCAACAAGCAACAAACCAAACCAAAATACATTACCTTCCAATATGGGAAGCAATAAAACTGCCTTCCGGGATTCCTAGAGGTACCAGACTTGTTCACAATGCACGGAACTTTGTGGTCACAACGAGGCACTGAATCGTTATTTGCGTTGGTCGAGCTCAAAGAGCCCTCCTTTGCAGATCCGTCCCCTGCGCATCCCTTCCTTGCAGAGCTCGACCTTGCAGACATGATTCTTGCTTCTATTACGCAGAACCATGGATTACGAAACCGTACCGGACATCAAACCGGAATCGTCTTCGGCATGGTAAATCGTGGTACAACCATGGTTCAACCGTTTCCTACCGGTAAATACCGTTTTTGGAATAAAAAATTTATTTTTTTATTAAAAAACCGTACCGGCAAAATTAGGGTACCATACCGGGAAAAAAACCGGAGTAAAATCCATCGATTCTGTGAAAAATTACCTTTGGAATACGGAACCAATTGCTTGCAGCGCCAACGGAGGCGATGATTTCGCTGTCGAAGAAATTAATTCCATTTGTTCCCGCGGGAGCAACTGGAAAATTGAAGCGGGGAAAAATTGAAGAAATTACTAACCGCGGCAGCAACCGGATTTGGGGGAGACGAGATCGTCCTCATCGTCGTCTTCGGTTGCTGGGGAGTGGGGAGGACGAGTCGCCGGCTGTTTGGTTGCTGCCTTGCTGGGGAGGACGCTGTCGCCGGGAGTTCGAGAGGCAGAGCGGCGCGGCGCGGGGAGACGACAGGCAGAGCGGCGGTGCGGCGCGGGGAGACGACAGGCAGAGCGGAGGGCGGCCCGGCGCCGGGTGATGACAGGCAGACTGGCAGAGCGGCGCGGGCAGAGGAGGGAGACGAAAGGCAGAGAGAATCAGAGACGAAGGTAGGGTTTCTCCTCTGCTTAATGCTTTCCGTTTGTTTTTTTTTTTTTTTTACTTTGCGTCAAAACGGCGCCGTTTAGTAAAATGAAATGGACCGCTATTGTTATTAAAACCGGCCGAAATTCCGGCCCATTGTGGTCCAACCGAAAATACCGGCCGGCATGATTCTGGAGGGTACAAAGCCCTTATTGGGCCGTTTCAGCTCCGGTTTCCGGTTTTCCCGGTCCGACCGGCCGGTCCGGTACGGTTTCCTGGTCTCTGCGCAGAGCAGGAGAAACATCTCAATCAACAATCCTATTGAGATTCGACACTACTGCTCAAGAGACAAGAGACCGAGAAACATCTTACCTTGCGTGAGACGATGTTGGAGGGAAGAAACCGAGAACGGCAGCGCAAGACTCGACCGGCAGCGGCGAGTCTTCGAACGGCGGCTGCGAGGCTTTGAAGGCCGACGACGGAGGCTGCGAGGCTTCGAGCCCTTTATGGGTTTTCAAACGAAGAGAGGGTAAGAATCACCCAATTAATCAGTAAATAAATATATTTATTTTTAATTTTTAATATTAAAAATATTAATTTCAGACGTGTACACTGACGTGGAGTTCCGTTACGAAATAAGTAACGGTAACAGAACGAATGCCCAGACTTTGATCAGTTACAATAAGTTTGGATAATAAATAGAATTTTGATAGGTTTGGGTAAAATAAAAGAAGTTTGAAAAGGTTTGGGTAAAAAATAGACATTGCCCTAAATATAATATAGTTTATTAGTTAATAATTAATTATAAACAAATCAAATTATTGTAACCGTTAGATTTATTCAATGGTTAAGATTGAACAAGAAAGTAGGTGCGTTCAGTGCACCCAAAAAAGTGGGTGCACTGAAAACGCCGCAAGAAGTGCAGCTGCCATCGTTGTCGTCCACCGAAATTCATCAAATAGTAGAACCTTGCGGATGCTCAAGCGTACGAGCGAGGGAGTTCCAGCCAATGCGAGGAACAAGACTAGATGACGGACCGTGAGCTGGAAGTTTCGAAAGCGGCGGAAGCCTCAAAGTTGTTGCAAGAGCTGCGGTTGCTTTCGTCATCGCCCACCGCGCCGCGACATTGACCAAACCTTGGGGACAAGGTCCTTTGAGGGGGAAGGATTGATGGAAATAAATGTTTGGGCTTTTGGGTTAGTACGTTATGTGTTTTGGGTTAGTATGTTTTGTTCATTGTTATGGGTTACGTATTATGTGGGCTATTAGTTATTTACGTAGTTAGTAGGTTATTAGAAGGATTAGTGCATAGGCTAAGAGTTAAATGGATAATTAGTCTACGCTGGGTCAGCATGGGCCAAGTAGTTCTTTGGGTTGTGGCCAAGAGACCTAGGGGAGTTAGGAGGGTTCGGCTAGGTTAGTAGGGTTAAGAAATAGTTAGGGTTACGTATTAGGTTTAATTGTCTATATATTGTAACCACGGCATTAGCCTGATTTATCAAAGAACGTAATCTGGTTGACTTCGTTGGAAGCGTTCGGGAATTTTTCAAATCATGCTAACTTGCAAATCACCACGAGTAAATTTTTAGCTATCCCTAACACACACTCCAACTATATGAGACCTTAACGTTTATATAGTAGATCAATTATCAATGTAGAATTATATGTCAGAGACGGCTAATAATTGACACTCTACATCTAACTTTCAATTCTCAACCTCTAGTCTACTTTCACAACTTCTAATATTTGGGTGGGATTTTTTTTTTTGGTGCAGATGCAAAACAAAGATGGTAATTCTTGACTTCTTGTATGACAATCGTGTTGATTAAACAAAAGGGGGAACTGCGTTTTACCCTTCTCGTCCACACGTTTAGCTATAATTTTATTTAAGGATATATAGTCTTGGTTCACAACATTTTACCACATTATAGTTTCGAACCTTGGTGTGCCAATAATCCTGTTAAAAGAATTTGCAAAATGTAGACTATCAATTTTCACATCTTAATCCCCATCACGATAGGGTGTGTTGGATGGAGGGACAATATCGGAACTCAAAGACTTTAATTCACTATTGTATCTCAACATATAAAGAAAACAAGTTTTGTTTTTAATATAAAGGTAATATAGGTTTCATTTTTATTCGTTTAAAGAAGACAAACCTTTCCAATCCCATTTTAATCCCGTCATTTTGCCTTTTTGAAATCGATAAATCCTCGCATCTCTTATCGTCTTCAAAATTATTGTTGAGAAAATATTATAAACTTTTCATTGTTTAGTAACTACGGTTCTTAATATTCAATAAGAAATAGAATATTTTCTTTTAACAAATGACATGTTTACCCTTAATTAACAGAATTGGACTGTCTTGAAAAATATTAAGAAATTATTGGTAAGAGTATTTGATGGGTTAATTTTTTTTTCTAACAGATGAAATAAGAGAGATATATATATAAAATCAGTCTGATCATTAAAGATTTTATATTCCCAGATTTTAGTAATTTGAAATGTCAATAAAAAGAAAATCTTGATATTTCCAAATTTAAGTAATTTGAAATCTCAACAAAATGAAAAACATAACTTTCTGTCCATGGACCCAAATCATGTTCTGCAAACCACCCTAAATAGAAGAACACAATGATCTAAAATCATTCCGGCAGAAATGGAGAACGTCATATTACATATACTAGGGTGGGCATGTGGGTGGTTAATCCGCGGATTGATATCGATCCACCTGTAAATAACCCGACTCGCACACAATAGGTGATTGATGTGGGTGGATTGCGGATTGTTAAATCTCTCACCCGCACTTATATGGGTGGATTGCGGGTCACCCGTATAACACGCGTCCTATTTTTATATGGAAAAATGTTGTTTCTTATAGTATCGAATATTTATCATATTTTCGAACTGCATTACAGTCTTACCATATACTTCAAAATGAGGAGAATAAATAATAGTTTTGACTACTAGTATTGGTTATTGTGTTGTGCAATATCCATTGGATATTGGTATGCAAATTGTTGGTAATATTCATTATATATTGGGATACAAACTATAAATTATTAATTGTATCAAAATCACAAATTTTTTATACAATCTTACTAATTTGCTATGAATTTATCATAAATGTTAGTCAATTTTCTTAATGACTGAATGGAGAATTGCTTTCGCGGGTTAATCCGCGACCCAACCGCACCCATCCGTCACCCACCCAACTCAACCCAAAGTATGTGGGTGGATTGCGGGTCACATGCATTTCAATTCGCTAGTAAGCGGGTGGGTCAATTTTAGACCAAAATCCACCTAACCCGCCCATTGCCCACCCCTATGCATACAAGTGATACAACTTTTTTCCAATCGTGTATCTTCACATGAATACAAACAACTCACTCAGCTTGCTTACACAAACCACAGTACATTTTTCAGCACCCAGCCATAACCACGAGACATTGCATATACAAACAACGACAGGGAATCAACAGAAACCAGAGAAAGGAGTCTAGAGAACTTTCATCTCATTAACCGAACATAGACATTTGATTTGAGCTACTAGGCCAGTCCAACCTGTCTTTCCCACCTGACATCTGCCGAGAACTCGGAGAGCGCAGCACGAGGATCCCCGTCTGAGATAGTCAGGTAGTAAAGAGCCGTCCCATCATCGACGTGCATGCTTCTCCTCAACGAATCAAGCACCCTTTTCCGCCCTCTCTCTGAAGTCGCATTATATGACAACCGCCGATTCAGCTTCCTGTCAGGCTCACCGGTAAGGTAGAGTACCGCCACTTCCCTTTTGGCATAGGTGTCCAGCTCTATATAGCAGGTGGAATGGATCAGAAGAATGGGATTGCTAACTGGGATTAGCAACCTGTCACGCGAGTATATCCCATGGTCACTCATCATGTTGTTCAGTCTTTTTATGTCCATTACCTGCAGAGGAAACAGAGAGATTTGTACTTTGAAAGGATTGGACATCTTAACTACACAAAGAGGAAACATGCTACACAGTACTGGAAAATCGCAGTCCTAAATCAGCAACAAGTAATGGTGAGAAATGAAAGTAGTTTTGAAGCACGAATAGATGCGACTCCAAGTACACAACAAGACTCCACCTAAACATCTAAGCCATTTAACCATTTCGTGATCAACCATTATCTACAGAATTGTGAACCGTTGAAATTTCACATTCATAGGTCCGCAAGAAGAGTAGATGAGAAATGAAAGTAGACTTGATGAACAAGTAGATCACTCTCCAAAGTACAGAACAACACTCCTTCCTCCCCAGTTCAGCCATTGACCATTTGGTTAAAAACAACCAATATCTAGAGAGTTAGGCACAACATGCTCCTTTACCAACCAGAGAAGAAATTCAGATGGTGACACATGAATCATTCCTATCGAGTTTGATAATCCATATTCACTCATTTCGCATCAATCCAACCTGAAGTTCGAGCTACAACCTGCAAATAGATCTCAGCATGCCATTTTCCCCTCATCAATTAAACAACAATCTCAATTGGCAGGTCTAAAACTCCTTTGTTGTAACTATCTGGGGAGATAGCTGCACAATTTCTTTGTAGAAATGTGCCCCCTACTTCATGAATTTAAGCATTAACCATATTACTAATCAAGATCGAAACTTCCACGACTTTCAGGTAGCCAACAGTGAGTCAGTGCCAAGAGTCTCACTGCTAAACCAAATTGCTCCTATTCACAATCCCAGTGAAAAGAATCCCAAACAGAGTCAAATGAGTTCTAACTTCTAACAACCAAGGAACAATATTAATAGCTAGCTATCAGAGGAATCCAAGCCAAATAAGAATTGAGTTCCACTTTCAATTCAAAATTTGATTGGATGAAAAAAAAAACTTCCCTATACAATCTGTTCAATTCCCTATGAAGCGAAACTGGGAAAGGAAAGCAGATTAAAGAACATGGAAACGTTTCGATCGAACTTCCTCCACCAACCTGAACGGAATACTTGACAGCGAGGCTAGCAACGGAATCCCCTCTGACAATTTTGTGCGAGACAGCAAATTTCCCTATCCCGTTGTCCCTCCAGAACCCGCCGGAGCCCGGCTTCCCGACGATCTCCTTCAATTTCCAGGGAGCCATGAAAGCCCGCCTCGTAATCTCGTCATCGGAGGCCACCGCGTTCCAGGCACGAGAAACGCAGCTGGCTCTGGCAAGGTCCGCCAAGGGGAGCCTCTCAAGGATGAGGCGGAGGGTGTCGCGGCAGGAGAGGGCGGAGAAGTTGGAGTTCATCGGCGAAATTGTGGAGAAATTGGGTGCTGTTCCGGCAGAAGAGGTTCCGGCGACGGAGGGGTTGAGGTGTTGGGTAAGGATGGGAAGTGGGTCGTCGACGTCTTCGTCGCCGCCACAGCAACCCATTGATTTTTTCTTCTTTTTTTCTCGTCGGAGCTGAAAATGGAGGAGAAGGGGAAAGATGGGAATCCGCTTTCTTATATTGCAGTTGTGTGTCTCGTTCTCGATCGTCCATACTCTGACGTTTTGTCCTAATCAATTTTTGTTATCTTCGGCTTTGGTAGTTGGTACATAGTACATACAAATTACAATTCATTGTTGTAGTTTTTAAATAATTAAATATGTTTTCATCTTAAAAATCAGTTGTATATATTCTACGGTAAAAGTTTGTAACATTCACGTACATAGATTTACAAATTTATATAGTTAAAACTTACAAATTCTTTGTTAACAATGTACAAATAATAATGATGTGTTATGTACGCTAAAAATTTAGATGAGATCATAAATTGTGGAAATTATCAAAATATAGTAAAAAAAACAACACAAATAAAGTGGTGGATTATGTGTTTGTTGATATTGTGATGAAGAGTAAAAAATGCGCGGCACTGCATCTATCGTCAGTCGTCACCATATCATTCCTATTAATTATGACATAAGGTTAACAATTTGATTTAAATGAAGTTTTAATTCTATGATGTACTTAATCACTTGATTTTAACCCGTTGCTTATGTCACGTTATAATTGGGGTGAAGATATTTTCTTCTTGAAAATGAAGCATTTGATCGAAATAAGAAGGTTTCATTCAAACCTTTTGAACAGGATTGTGCTTTCGATCGAACCGAATTTCGAGGAAGAGTTTTTTGTGGTTTGATCCTTCAATTCGGATCGAAGATACTGAAGAAGAATGAACACTTTACTTGTAATCTCTTTATCACTGATTTATACAAACACATTTGTATCTTATTTCCCCTATGTTTGGCCCGACTTTTAGAAGTGCTTTTCGGCTTCAAAATCTGAAGCAGGGCAAAACATCTGTAAAATCTCGACTTTTGAAAAACCGAGAAGCGCTTCTGTATTACATAAAAGCAGAAGCTTCGATTTGGAACTTCTGCGAAAAGCTTTTGTGAAAATACAAGATTATTCTTACCATATTTTAATTTTATTTCAGAAAATATAATTTCCTTCATTTATATTATTTTAAAAATAAACTAAATTATAAAATCATATTATTTAATATAAAAGAAATATAACAAGATCCATTTTGACTACTTTTTATTGTTTAGAATTTTTATTTATATTTTATATTATAAGTCCTTTATATTCATTTTACACAATCTCTCACATTAAAAATCAATTCTAATAGTTTTGTAGCCAAACACTCAATTGTTTTATTTTAATTACTTATCTAAAAGTTCCAGCCAGAAGCTGTTTCTGCAAAAACTACAACAGGGCCAAACTAAGCTTTGACGCGGGTTTTGTTGTTTAGATAGTCTTGGCCTTTGGTATTCTTTTTTGGGTAAAAGGTATGGCTATTAAATTGTATTTACCCTTCTTTTTTCTCTACCTTGCCAAATCGAACCTTTTGGATTCATTCAATTTACAGTGTTTTCTCTGCACTGCGTTCTCTATACAAGAATATAGCGTTCTCTATGTAGACTACTATTTATATCTGTATCCCACTATATACCGTGAGCTTGGTTCCCGTTAAGTAGGAGAACTAAATCAATGACTTTGCAGAAGTAATGCGTGAATAAGATTCTTTTGGGTGAGGAAAGAACGAGATTAGTATCATCATGAAGTACAAAATAGACACTTCAAGTGCTCATTTGATGATCAGATAGGGTTGGGGGAAAGAAAACCAGATAACCTGAGTCACATTGTGACCTAAGCTAGATATAGAATAGGGAGAATTAACTGCAAAATTGAACAAGAGTCGAGACCCAAAAAAGGGCATATATGACATCCGAGGTTTGTGATTTTTCGGGTTAAAGATTATGCTAACAGTCGATCTCTCACCATTGCAGCAGCCACTTAGTGTTCAGAATCTAGCTTCCCCACGCCTGGCCGAGCCCATAGGCATCCATGTAGCCTGCGGCCTGTCCATGATTGTGGTCGTGGTCATGGCCAGAGTGACCGTGGCTGTGGCTGTGGCCGTGGTGATGATGATGAGAATTCTGTTTTGCCTCATCCAGCTGCTTCTGGATGTGGTCTGGTATGGACTCCTCTTCAGCTTGTCTAAATGACTTTGGTAGAGATGACACAAATGTGGCTACTCGTTCGCCTATCTCCTGGGCTGTGTCTTCCTGGGACCAACAAAAGAAAAATTGAGGAACTAAACTGAGTTTCATAATCCAAACATTCATCACGGTAATACTAACACAAGACTATTTAGGGCAGAAGGAGAACATAAAATTGTTTTTATCAGAAAGAGAACTAACCTATATATGCATGCTGTTAAACAAGAACGGGGACTGTTTACAGTTTGTAATTCATCATGTTAGGCAAACATATTTGGCTTTCCTAGTGAAATCTGGAGGAAGGGTAGCTCATCAGTCATCGTGACATCAGGATTCATCTCTGCTTTAAGGGTGAGATCATGCACAGCAGTTTCAGACAAGACATTCAAGACTTTTCTTGTTCTCTGAAAAACATGGCCGGAGGGGAAACTAAGCTTAAAAAACGTAACATTTGCAGGTTAAGAGCACCATGAACATCCCATTACTGGGGAACCATCAACGAAGAAAAGATGTTGGTAAGATTAGAAGGCTCACTTAATGGGTTTCGAGAGGGGCTGACCAATTTGACTTGTATCTCAGCACAAGACATGAGCATTTTTAGATTCTACGGTTTCAGATGCTAGCTTCTTAAAAATGTTTTCTATTATTGACCAACCTATATCAGAATGAAGACAAAATGGATGCTATATGTTGTCAGTAAGCAGTCGACAAATCTCAAGAGAAATTTAGAGCAGCTTCATCACCACATTTCTACGCATAATCAGTCTTCCCTCAACAAACTTGATGTCAGTACGGTGGGAAAAATGGAGACAACGGAATGTCAGAGCGAGTACATCAAAGTAATTTCTACAATGTCCTTCTAGAAATTCCGTATGACTATAAACAAGTTTTCAGAAATTGAAAGCAAGTTCATAAAGATAAACTAAGACGCAAGGACACAATCTTAGATCGACTGTGAAAACTATATCAGAACCAATCTCCATGCATCACCATTCCACAATACAGATAATTTATCGGTTGCAAAGCAAAGTAATAGATCAGAAGAAATATCTTACCTGAGGCCATCGACCACCAGAATGCTCGACGAATTTTGCCCGAGGAAGAGCCTCAGACACTCGACGTCCCTCATCACTCCACTCTTTTGACCAACTCCTCGACCAAACCACCTGAATTGGAATCCCTCTCATCCCCTCCGAACCTCCCCACTCACCTATGTCAAAGCTACCATTCAGCAACCTCTCAGTGCCCACAGTAGCCCTCCAACCATCTTTGCCTCTTGAAACCATCCTGTGTGCTTCCAGATCCGCAGAACCTATCCCTTTTGAGCAGCATGTACTGATCAACTTTTTATATACAAAATTAGACCCCAACACAACTTCCCTGACCAAGGGAATGTCCAGGATCCTTAATGGCAGAGCTGAGTTTGATCCGGTATCAACCAGAGTGACACTCCTAAACAACCCTGGATTTTCAGAAACCCAATTGGCAACCATGTTCAGGCTTGAATCATGCAAAACCAAATGGACAGGAGCTATCCCCATTGTGAACATCACTTGCCCTAAAACCTTACCAATCTCCTCACTTCCTAGCGCTATCGGTCTAACCACACTCTTCTTCTCACTGAAATGGGACTGAACTGCTTCATAAGGGATCTGCCCAGTTTCTACCATGTTATCAAACGCCCAAAACACACCCTTCTCTTTAATCAAAGCATAAACATCCAACAAACGTTCAAAAGCACCATCCCCTCTTTCTTCCATTACTTCTCTCGATTTATCAGAGAACCCGTTTCCAGGCAAGTCAAAGGCAATCCCATGAATCCCCTTGGAACCCAGAAAGTCGACAACTTTTCTGAAGGAAAATGAGCTCAAACCTAGCCCATGAACGATCAATACCTTCTCAGCATCAAATTTCTTACCTTTCTCGCTCTCATAGACGAAAACTTCAACTGGCTTCTGGTTCAGAGAGAGCTGTGACTTCACAATCCGGCCTTTGGAGTAGTGTTGCCGGAGTGGTGTGGAGAGTGAGAGGAAAAACGATTTGGGGTCGGAAGATGGGGAAAAGGAAGAGAGGAAGACGGTTGATAGAGTGATTACGGACACTCCTAGAGTAAAGTAGAACCAGAAAACAAATGGGCTGCTGCTATTCTTCTTAGTACTCTCTACTCTGGAGCTGGGCTCAGATTGGTTAACATTAGGCTTTGGGCTTTTCGCCGGCGGCGACGGCTCTGGTTCCTCAGTGATGATCGCCATTGCCAAAGCCTTGAAATGAAACGAAGATCTGCAGCAGGGTAGAGATCGGAAAAAATGAAGGCACTGAATGGAAATGGTAAAAGATCGAAGCTTTTTCTTTGTGCAACTTTACAGCACAGTTTGAGAAGCAAAAGGTGATCACTTTTTCCTTGCAGCAGTATCAGAGAGGTTTCCAAAAGGTCTGTCCTCATTCCTCAAACAACGAAACGACATCGTTAAGTAATGGGGAAGTGGGGAAGTGGGGAACTGCAGTACGACGTCGTTCCGTTCAATTGTTTGATTTGTTTCGCGACTCCACTCCAGTCGTCGTCTTCTTATCTTTGGCTCGGAACTCTTTAACCAGAAATCAGGAAAAAATTCAGCTTCTCAGTAAGCTTTGCTTTGCTGCCGCTACCATCGCCAATCATGCGGCCGCTCTACCTCTCTTGCTGTTCCTCATCTTCTCGCTACCTTTCCCCGATTACATTTTTCTCTTCTTCTTCTTCCTCCCTTCTCCCCAAACCAATCCTCCCGACTTTCCGGACCAATCCCGGATTCAAATTCACTCCATCAAGATCCCGTCTTTCGATTCGGAATTGCAGTTCCATCTCCGCCAAGCCGTCTTCTGAGCTCCGGCAAAAGAAGGGCTCCTTAGACAGCTCCAAGCCAGAGGACAAGAAGCTCCGAGCTCTTCGCCAGCTCTTCTCCAAGCCCGGGATTGGAATCGACGCTTACGTTATCCCTTCTCAGGATGCTCACCAGGTTTGGGGAACAAATGTCATTTCCCTTCTCCATTGATGTTCATTTTTGTTGTTCAGCTGATTTAGTGAGTAGGGATTTGGTTGGAACAGAGTGAATTCATTGCCGAGTGTTATATGCGGAGAGGGTTTATCTCTGGGTTTACCGGAAGCGCGGGGATTGCTGTGGTTACTAAGGAAAAGGCAGCTCTTTGGACCGATGGCCGTTATTTTCTCCAGGTTTGGGAAAAAAGTGCAAAGGTTGCAGCTTAATTTGTAGGTGATTCGATTGTTGAAGTTTCGTACTTTGATATGGTGTAGGCTGAGAAGCAGTTGAATTCTAGTTGGATTCTGATGCGGTCCGGGAATCTTGGAGTTCCAACAGCTAGTGAATGGTTGAATGATGTCTTGGCTCCTGGATCCAAAGTTGGCATTGATCCTGTGAGCAATTTTGTATCTGACTTCGATGAAACTGGTTTAAGTCTTTTCATTCGACGGGTTCCTGATAGTTTTTGACAATGTGAACAGAACAGTTCCTTTTCTCTTTTGATGCTGCTGAGGAATTGAAGGAAGACATAGCGAGGAAGGATCACGAACTAGTCTACTTGTATGATGTGAACCTTGTGGATGAGATATGGAAAGAATTGAGGCCAGGTCCTCCAAATTCGCCTATCAGGGTGCATGAACTGAAATATGCTGGCGTCGATGTTGTGTCGAAGTTATCTTTTCTCAGGTCTCAGCTTGTTGATGCTGGTTGTTCGGCGATTGTTGCTTCGATGCTTGATGAAATTGCTTGGCTCCTGAACTTGGTAATATTTTGAGAGAATCGTTGCCTTTCAATCGAATCTTATCTTTCCGCTGTGCATTTATAATGTGAAGGACGCCTTTTGATTCTTTATTGCAGCGAGGCGGCGATGTTCCCAATTCTCCTGTTATGTATGCATATTTGGTGGTCACGATGGATGATGCCAAAATGTTTGTTGATAGTTCAAAAGTCTCTCCAGTGGTCTCAAACCATTTGAAGAATGCGGGTGTCGAGTTGAGGCCATATGGCTCCATTCTTTCTGAGATTGAGAGGTGGGTACTCCTCTTCTGTTTTCCATTCAGTTAAGTTTCTATATAACTTGCTTATTGGTCAGCACATCTGGCAATATGCAGAAATTCGTATCATCAACAACAAGATATATGCACTTGATATAAGAAATCTTACATTTGCATGACTTGGTTTTCTGTTTCTGATCTAGGCCTTGCTTTTCGGCAAAGTTTTACTTTGATTTGATTTTAATGTTGCAGTTTGGCGTTGAAAGGTACTGAGCTATGGTTGGATCCATCTTCTATTAATGCTGCCATAGTGAATACCTACAAGGCTGCTGGTGAAAAACACTTGGAAAGCCTTGGAAGTGAGGATAACAGCATGAGTAAGAATCCTAAAGTATCCAATGGCTCCAGTGGTCAATCTTGGGGACCATGTGGAGTTTATAGGGCATCCCCTATCTCTTTGGCAAAAGCTGTGAAAAATCCTTGTGAGTTAGAAGGCATGCGAAATGCTCACCTGAGGTGACTTTCTTCCCTTAAATTCATTTTTACCACAATCTAAAGCTTTTTTACTTCGTTCTTTTATGGTAGAATTTGCATTATTAGTTCATTATTCTTGCATATGCTGAGGCCTATAATGTTTTAAATCGTACAGAGATGCAGCTGCCTTATCACAGTTTTGGACTTGGCTCGAGGATGAAATTCACAAGGGTGCAAAGCTAACAGAAGTTGATGTTTCTGATAAACTGCTTGAATTTCGTCAACAACAGGATGGATTCATCGACACTAGCTTTGATACAATAAGTGGTACTGCATTAACCCTCATACTTTATTAGACCTAGCAAATTCCAAGAACAATGGCCTTGTTTATTTATCCTTCCGCTTGATGGCTGTTTCACTAACATGAGAATTTTTTTGCAGGTTCTGGTGCAAATGGCGCAATCATACACTACAGACCTGAACCAGGGAATTGTAGCATTGTGGATTCAAAGAAGCTCTTTTTATTAGACAGTGGAGCTCAATACGTTGATGGAACCACAGACATAACAAGGACAGTGCACTTTGGCGAACCAACTGCACATGAAAAGGAATGCTTCACCCGGGTTTTACAGGTATTGAGTTTGTTGGGTTTTCAAAGCTTTTCTTGTCTGTAGATTCATCGTTAAACTTCTCATGGGATGTCGATTGAGTCGAGAAGTAGATTGTAGTTTTCTTACTTGATGATTGATGGCAGGGCCATATTGCACTGGATGAAGCAGTATTCCCTGCAACTACCGTTGGCTTTGTACTGGATGCGTTTGCACGTTCCTTTCTATGGAAAATCGGCCTTGATTACCGCCACGGTACATTTGTTTCCTTTTAACTCTCAAATCATGTAATGTCGTATAATTCAAGCCCTCATTCGTCTCCTAAAACTTCTGTCAGGGACGGGACATGGCGTGGGAGCTGCTCTGAATGTTCACGAAGGCCCTCAAAGTATCAGCTTCCGATATGGGAACACGACTCCCTTGCAGAAGGGCATGATAGTCAGCAACGAGCCTGGATACTACGAAGATCATGCTTTTGGAATCCGAATTGAGGTACAGTTGCTATTCACTGGACTGGATCTACAAACCTGTTCATCCTAACCGCTTGACATTCATCTCTGGTGGCTTTATATCACAGAATCTCCTTCATGTGAAAGAGGCAAACACTAAATACCGGTTCGGGGGAATAGGCTATCTGACTTTTGAGAAACTCACGTTCGTCCCCATTCAGGTCAAGATCATCTCATATTATCTAGAAGAACTAGTTCCATTGTTCCCTTCCCGACTTGTTTTCTTTTATGTATCCATGGATGGGAAGAAAAAGATATCCAAGGAGCCAACTTTTTCTTCTGTACTTTCCCGCTTTTTGCCATTTCTCATGGTCATCTTGGTTTGTTGGGGATGCAGAAAAAAATGGTGGAAGTATCGTTGCTATCTGATGCAGAGATTGATTGGCTTAACGATTACCATTCACAAGTCTGGGAGAAGGTAAAAGGATCCTGTCTATGAGTTGAGAGACTTCCAAATAGTGTTGTTGTTTGTGCTTTGATAATGATTGTCTTTGGTGAAACTGATCATAAAGGTAATGTACATATATTCAAATTCAACAGGTGTCTCCTCTGGTTGAAGGTTCTGCTTCACAATGGCTTTGGGACAACACGCGACCGCTGGTCCGGCAGTGATAAGCTCCTCGGCTTCAGATTCTCCCTTGTATTGTATAGAAGGAGAACCTTGCTCCTCATTTTCTATTTTGTTGCACAATAATATGGCTTGATTGATATTGGATTCCGTGGTCCTTCATATACCCGGTCTAATCACGGTTCTGGGAGTTTGTTGGTGGAAACTCGTTTGGACCGAGTTCTTTTCTCAGCCAAGGCATTGTCTTCCTTCCCCAATTCTCTTACCACTCATCTCTCCGATATCAGGTCGCTGGCAGCGCCGTCGTTCTAAACCAAAACGTCTTTTTCGTTTTGATAGCCGCTGGATTTCTAATCCGGAAGGAAGCTCGGTTCATCATTGAACATTTTTGGAACTTACCTGTAGTCGGCTCCCCGATGTACTGTTTGCATGCCGAACTTAAACTCAGACTCGTAGGACAAAGAATTTTGTTGCTGCTCTTCGCCAACCCACGGGGTAAGTAGTCACTGAAGAAGATGATAAGGGCTTGGAGACGGTTTCTCATTTCTCCCATTTATTTTCATCTGAAGGGCTGGCCACTAATATTGAGGCTGCTGTGGATGTGTTACCCATTTCTCCCACTAAAATTATATATGGAAAAAGCTTATGATCGAATTGAATGACCTTACCTTTTTTGTTTGATGAACGCATTGGGGTTTCATCCTTATCTAATTGGATTGATTCGAAATTGTCTCTCTACCACTTCCATCTCGGTCCTTCTCAATGATAGTTCGTATGGGTATTTTCATCCTTCCCGGGGTCTTCGTCAATGTGATCTGTTGTCATCTTTACTCTTTGCGATTTGCACGGAAGGATTTTCGTCTCTTTTGACTCAATCAGTCTTGGCAACATTTATGTCAACCTAAGTCCAATAGAAGTCTTGGCTTTCATGATTTTGAGGCCTTTAACCAAGCTCTCCTTGCCAAACAGTGTTGGCGTATTTGAACAGACCTGAATACATTGGTTGCTAGCGGGCTTAAAGTGCTCGATTTCCATCAAACATCGCTACTCTCAGTGCCGGTGGGCTGCAACACCTCTTGGACGTGGCAATCTTTATTGCATGATCGGGATCTCTTATTGAAAGGGTTACAGTGGGAGGTAGGTTCAGGGAATTCGAATGATGCTATGACGGATCCTTGGGTGCCATCTTTATCATCCTTTAAGCCTACTCTGTTGGCCACGACTGGAGGTGCATCACGTTTTGTTTCTTATTTTATCGATCCTCACCGGGGAACGTGGAACCAAGGATGTTTACATGACTTCTTTGATGCCACTTATGTTTCCGCTATTTTTGCGATTCCTCTTCCTTTCCATCCTTCCACCGATCACTATATTTGGCATTATCATTCTGATGTGATATCGACTCGCACCATATTTAATTCCCGTGGTCAAAAAATAAAGATTCGAGTTAGACGATTTAAAGATCAATTAGGAGCATTCTTAATGGATAAATGACGCTTGAAACTACTGCCAGGAGCACAACACGTATGGCATGAGAATTTTATGCATGGTGTAATTAGATGGGTGATTAATTATTCTATGACTCATCATAGCCATGCCCTCACGTGGAAAGTTTGTCTTCATGGCAAGCAAGCAGAGTCTCACAAGCTCACGTGGAGGTTCTGTGAATAGAGGGAAATTGATTCCGCAAATGAAGAGGAGCATCCACATCTGTCGTGGAATTAATTGTACGGAAGGACAATTGGCGGACAAAATTACAAATCCGCTAAGGAGAAGGACATGTGGAACGGAGCTCAATTCCGTGAAGAAGAAGAAGGTTCATCATGAAGACCAAGCTGCGACGTGTTGTGCAAGAGGAGTTTTGTTTGTTTAATTAATTATTATGTTTACTAGTTAGTTTGGGATTTGTTTTCCTATTTTTTTTAGGTTAGATTTATGTTTTTGAGACCTCTATAAATAGAGGGTGTAAGACCTACGAATTTTGTACTCAACATTCAAGTTATCAATTATGAGTTTTTACTCGTGTTCCTTTGTGAACGTTTGTGCAAGCTTCTGTCGAGAGTCTCCAGGAGTTTCACGTGTCTCTTATCAACTAGAGAAAACATCTAGTTGTGGCGAGCTTCTACCCAATAGCGATTGGCCTTATTCACGAGTGGGTGATTGTTTGATTGGTTTCATATACCAATTGGCCTTTCACACGAGTTGGAATCTGTTTGATCGTGTTCCATATCTATCCTTTATTTTCAAGTTGTCAAGAAAAGCTTCGAAAATTCCGTAAAAAGAAGGAAGGTTGCGTACTTTGGTCATATAATACGATTTCGAGGGTTCTCTTCGGATTTGGATCACATCACATTCCTCTGGATTATTTACTGTAAAATCGGCATACCATTTCTCATAGCCTACCCCACGGCCACCTAGAATCTCCTCTGCCTCCCCTTTGGATCCTGCGGTTTAGCCGAAGTCGTGGAGCCTTTCGATTGCCCCGAAATTAAAATTCTTCTTGTGGTGTTTGATGCTCCGGATTTTACCAGTTCGTGAAGATCTGCAACTCCATGGGGTTCAAGTTAAAGAATTGAGTCCGATTTGCGAATCTATTGAGGGTGAATCCCTCGAATACTTATTCTTCCGTTGTCGTGTGGAAGAGGAGCTTCGGCATGTGCTTAACCTACAACTACCGATGGGTATTACTATTGCTACCCACATCTCAATCTTTTGGCTGCACCTAATCTATAATGGTGATCACTCTCTTATCACCAAGTGGGTGTTACTATTTCGACGACTTTGGAAGTCGCAATAATGTCGTGTTTCTCCCCCATGCCCAATTTACCATATCCACCCTCCATCGTCAATTTCTATCTCACCAGGCGGATCATCAAGTTGGTGTTCAGCCCCACATTGTACCCCCACTACCGCAACAACGCCGATTGCGAACTCCACATCTCTCGCCAGGATTCCGGCTAGTAGTGGATGGTGCTACAAATTATCCAACACATGGTGGTGTGGATATTGTGGGGTTTGAGGGTGGCCTCCCTTTGTTCGCTTTTGGGTGCTCGCTACCAGGTCTTGTGGATGCCTCCACAGTGGAGCTATTGGTTATTTGACGTACCCTTTTGCTTATTTGAAATTGGGAATGGGAGGATCGATCGATCCAAATTAGTGGTGATGTGCAAGTCGTGTCAAAGCACTTGGAGGATCGTAACGCGCATGATGATCGATGTGGTGCCATTTAAAGTGAAGTTATTTGTATGCTACAACATCTCCCTCTAGAACATTTTGTTTTTACTCCTCGATAAGGGAATCGAGCTGCCCAAACCGTGACACGTAATGCCCTACGCCATCCTGAATTAAGCAATGTTCTACATAATTTCTCCTATTTGGTCTGTCGTTGAATCCATAAGGGACCGAAATGGTTGTGGCTTCTCATATTTACCTGGTTAATCCGCTAGGATTTCTATGACAAAAAAGGTTCTCATCGAATATCATTTGAAGCCTTGTATTCTCAAGTGAATGTATTATATCTCGTGATCGAAATCACTACAGTATTACTACTAAAGATATGGAATCAATGCAAAACCTGCCATAAAATATGAGTATAAAATAGTATTCCTTATGCGTCATTACAAAAAAATGTTTTTTGTTTGTACAATCATCTAAAACCAAATAGATTCATTTGTATAGAACCCCAATTAGACTCAATTCAGAACCAACCTAAATTCAAAATCGTTAAAAATATATATGATTTCATTTAAACACGACCCATTTGCCATAAGAGCAATAAAAATTCAACTCATTGCCATTCCCATTCACCAACAAATTAGAGTACCTAAGTCGTTATGGCAAAATTCTAATTTTCCTTTTTTTTATTTTGTTATAATGAGAAGTCTGTTAGAGATGGTAAATCCCAGTTCTCATAAGTCATAAACACCCAACAACACAGAGTGATTTTTTTATTCTTACAAAAAAAACTACTTGTGTATGAAATGACTTTATACTGTTAAACAAACCGAAATACTCATGGCTCCGGAAACAACCGAAATAGTATCTACAAATAATTCTCAATAAAATAAATAAATCTAAGTATTTTCCAAAAGAATTTCAAATGAAATGCCCTTAACAGTTGGGCGACCCAAATCCATGGTAAACAAAACCATCCAAATTCAAAACCTCGAATCTCCGGTTTATAAACACATAATCATGAAAAAAAATAATGAAAATAACTATAGCTCTATCTCCTCGTTGAGCTCCCCTCGATCTCCTCCTCTTAGAAGCGCCCTCCTGCTTCGCCTCGCCTCTTCTTGGAATCAACCTCCGCTAACCCTTCCTAGACTTGGTGAGTGAGAATGGGTCAGTCTCGTCGTTACTTCCTAAGGTCTTTGCCCTAGGCAAATCCTCACTAACACATTATTAGAATTTCCTTCTAGATAGAAATCCGTTCTTGCTTTCTGCTCTTAATAATCATTCCTTAATAGCCTATAGAACTTCTCTACTTCTATCTTAACTCATATACCTATTACTAGGGTTCGCCGCGTTACGTATCGCCGTCTACCGCGTCCAGTAGTGGCCTAACCACATGGGGGTTCATCTTGCCATCATCCATACATCATAAACACATACATACATAGTAGAACGTGTGCCTCCACATTAAGTAGGTGGTGGAATGCCTCACACACATGATGTCGCAAACTCATAAATTAACTAGCATAACTTGAAATTAAAGACATAAACTAAAAGACCTCGAGGGAGATTTTACCCCCTTTACACTCACCTCTTTAGTCGCGTCAACATCTGCATTCTCACGCTCAAGTTCTGGATGCTTTTCCTCCTTTGGCTCCTCCTCTTCCTATTCAACGATCTCCACTATTGTAGGTCCGCCGCCATTATCGCCGAGGACCCTCCTCCTGACACAATTCGGTGGCCAACTTTGGGCGACCGACACCCGGGTCGTCATGGAGGATAGGGTCGGGGACTCCCCATCGCGTTACCACCAATAGCCGTGATTGTCATAGCCAAGTTCCCGGCCTTTCTCCCGCCTCCACCATTCACAAATTTTCCTCTCCTACTCACCGGTGTGAACCTCTTCATCACGCGAGACTACGAACCTTGATCGGCGGCTATCTTTCTCATCTTTCTTTCCCTCCTTAGACGAATTATCTCAGGAAGCCTACTAATAAGAAATTCTTTTTCTGAGACAAACTTTCTCGATTTAAAACCACTTTTGATTTAGCAGAACACCCTCTCCTGAAAATTAAATCCTCGAACCTCTTTTCAAAGATCCCTTAGCCCCCTCTTAAATTTTTCTAGAAATACTCCATTTGAAAACCGACATTTTTCTAATTAGAAATCCAATGTAAACCTCCTTAGAAATCCATATAATAATTTTCCTATGTCAACTATGAGGACTTACATTCTGTAAAATTATAAATTTCTTAAGAAAATTTCGGCATAATTTTATTTATTTAAAATAAACTTTCAATAAAGTTCTAAAAATAGTAAATCATCTTCAAAAATCGTCAAATTAAATCAAAGGCATCTCCTATCACTCCCTCAATTTATAAAATTGTTAAATCCTGAAAAAACTACCTGATGTGGCTCAAAACAATATACACATCTTAAAATACGTTTCTAGAAATTCAGTACAGCTTTAGTGACCACCCATAACATGTCACTAAAATCCTTTAATGTCCGTCGCTAGAAGCCATAATTGCACCCTCACAAAAATCACCAAATCGATCGATCTAACCCGAAGGGATCGAGTTTCCTTACCTCTAGCTAGAACGTGCCTAGGTTCAGACTCGACGACCTTGGATGTCGATTTCCTCATCGATCGAGGTTATGAACCGACCTTGGACGTCGATTTCCTCGTCAATCGATGTTTCGAACCTTCAAACATTACTTCAACCACTATAGTACAAAAATACAAGTTTTGGATTAGACTACCGATGAAACGAGTTATATATCAAGGGTTATCATGATCCTTACCACTAAAACCGAACGTGCGCTGGAGATCGGCAAACAGGAATGGGGTAGGGGACATGGCGGTGCTGTTGCTTTTTTTGCGTGGGGAAAAATCAAGCGAGAGAGAGAGAGAGAGAATGGGGATGGGGGTTTTAGCGGCGCTGCAGGGAGGTGTCTTGGGGGCGAACTATTATTATTTGTATGGGGAAAGTGGAGGCCGCTCGGCCTTTTTGGCCGCCCCACTACTTTTTCTAGATAATAATACTAATAATAATAATATAATAGTTATTATTACTATTATTATTTATAATCCGCAATTGCAATCCATCGTACGTAACCGTTAACCCAACCGTTCACGTCTTATGGTCGAACCTAAACCCAAAGGTAGAGGTGTTACATTTCCTACACCCTTATAAAAAAAATCCGTCCTCGAAATTTGCTCTGAACTCATCCTTCTATCAACACCCTTCTTATACTTCCTTCCCACGATCATTTATTCTTACCATAATAACTTCGTTGGTAACCTTTGATCATATGCATTTCCTCAGCTTGTAACACACGTGTAACCTTGAGTGACTCACTGCCCTTTTTATTTTACAAGTTGACCCAAAGTGATGAAAGAAAATGATGATTTGGCTTGATATATTGATCCAATTCACCTGTTAGTTGTTGTTGAACCTAAATCCAAAATTGAGATATCACATTCGCCTCCTCCTTAAGAAAAAGTTCAACCTCGAAATTCGTTCGTGTCATGACTCCAAGTCTCCCTGTGATAATCTCTTTACAAGGAATTATACCTCCCTTAACTTGTACGACACTGAGCTCTACATCCTTCCCTCTAGCAAGATGTGATTTTAGCAGACTGGTAGTTCAACCATTTCTCGTAGACAACTTGCTCAGCTAGCTATTAGCTCGATACAACTATGATATTTTCCACTCATAGATGACTTCGATGTTGTGGTGCTTTACTCAAAACATCTTGTGATCACCGCAGTTTCTCAAGGTTTCCGCCTACGATTCCTTAAGCAACGTCGTCTAATAATTCACCAGTATTTTGACCTATAATATTCTCCTTTTCACGACTGTGGATACATCTCCTTGAACTCCATGACATAAACGTCCATGGTTAGTGTTTGCCCTATCCTCATCATTTGGTACATAAGCAGGTAATGCTACTTCGAACACCAAGATTACAAAGCGTGGCTTAACCTCTTTCATGCTCGATCTCAAACTCTTTTGATGTAACCTCGTCTGTGGTTGACCACGTAGGTCACCTAGGTTATCGTACCTTATAGCTTTGAATCTCTGACTTTCTTCCTAGATTCTTCGTCTCTCCCTTTAGCCACCAACTGAGTGGTCATCTCCTCGTCACTTCTTGATCAACGCTGAAACCTCATAGTACTACTGCCTTCACTTTCTGTATGCCTTAGAGGCATCATTTGCATCGTTCTCTAGTTTGCGATCAACTTCATGACTCCTCTCACTACAAGATTGACTTCTAGTCACCACCTTCCCATTCAGAAATCCAATCACCCTATCACCATCTAAGGTGAAACTGATTCCATTTCTGTACATCCAATATGTTATTTAAATCCCTATTTCCTTAAATCTTGATCAATTTGTCCATGCGAGAGTAAGTTTTCCGTTGATGGTTCATTTCCTCATATATGTAGCAATCATATTTCCCTCTATGACTTCGTAAGGTTATTGTTTACGCCTAGAAAGTGTCAGGCGGGATTGGTGAGGACTTCGAGGAGATTGCATGCTTCCTTGAGCGGGGAAAATGGTATGCAGAAAAGGTCTGATGCGGGAGCCCTTTGGACACTCTCCAACGATCAAGTCAGTATTTAGAGAGAGAAAGTAGATATAGAGAGGGTAGGTTGATTATAATTAAATGAGGTGGTTGGTTCGTATTTATAGTTGGTCATGACTTGTGTGAGCATTTAATTCTCTGTTTGGCGTGTACTAAACGTCAGCTCCCATGACTACGCCTTTGGCGGCATTTAATATAGTTGTCAGTCTGGCAGAGTTAGTGCTGACAACCGTCCCATCCACCGTACACCTTTCTCGCCCGCGATCTCCGAGGCGTATCGGCCTCTGGCCGATCTCTGTCAATGGGCCCTTCTAATTATTGTGCCGACTCTTGCCTTGTGGGTCGGGCTCCTGTCTTGCGGGCTTTGGTTTTGGCATGTGTCCCTTTATGGCCCAACAATTGTCCCGGAGGCGGGTAAAGCCTCCGGTTTCAGGCGGCTGGCCTTCTAAGTCTGGGACGGGGACACTTACCAAACCAACGGCCCAGCACGTGTGCCATTCCCCCCAGCCGTCAAACTGGCTGTGTCCCACCTCGGGATAGTCTTATCCTCCACGTACTGCCACGTGTCAGAGAACACATTTTCCCATATGCAGTTGAAAGGATGTGCCGTCAGACGTTTCAAAAGAACCGTGATCATTACCACTCGCTGTAGCCGATACGAGTTCCGGCGAGTCCTGACCATGACTGGAGGAAATGGCTCCTCGCATTTGCTGCCCTCTACTGGATCTGGGTCATCACCGGCTCGGCGGAAGAACTCAACCGTCGCCTCCGCGACCGCCACCGCATCCGGCGGTGCCGCCGCCGCCGCCATCGTCACCGCCGCCCCTGCTACTGCTCCAATTTGAACCTCTTATCGCCGTTTAGTTTGTCCGAAATTGATCGGGATTTTAGTGGGGTAGATGCAGATTTCGGCTGTTCTTGGTCAGACGACGGTCGATATCTGCTAGGTAGAACTGGAGACGGATCATTTGAATTGACGAATGTTGCTTTGGGTTTAGGCGTAGAGAACATAGCCAATAGGGGGGATGCTTCCGCCGTTGTAGATAATCTGGCGAATTTTGAAGACGTGTCATTGGCAAGCGTAAGTACCGAGGAGGGGATCAGTTTTGATGAGCGTAATTTGCCTGAGCACCCTGATTCTCCTTCCATCGAGCTTTTTGAGGATACTTCTGATTACGACTATAGAGCGGTGGCGGATGATGAATATTCTGTGCGCCATCACGAGCACATGTGGGGGAGAAGCGAGATCCCTTTCCCGCTTTCACCCTGGGCCCTGATAGGTATAGTAAGCTTAAGCCTGCGACCGTCCTTGTCCGCCTCCGAAACTACAAATTAACGACCGAGTGGAAATATGCCTCTCCGTCTTCTACTTCTAGAGCGGGAATGTGTCCCAAAGGATGGATCACTATCTACACTGAATAGTTAAAGCTTGGGTTGCGCTTCACCCTCGGTCCTCTCATAACTCAGACCTTACTGTGTCTGAATTGAACTCTAGGGTGCTTGTCACCCACCATCATTTTTAACGCCTGTGCATACAGGCTTGCGTGCGAACGCCTTTGCCTTGAACCTTTGTTTGCCGCCTTCCGCTTTACGTATGGACTCGATCGGGTATCGAACGTGTGGTCTTTCGGGAGGCGTGATAAAGCCTACGGATTCGTGACCGGTATCCCAAAACTTGACTCTCCCCGGTTTAAGGATTTTTTCTACGCCAAGCCGTCGACCAAATGGTACTCAGACGATAAGGAACCGCGGACGCGGTTCGCCTATGGTCAGAAGGAGAATTGGGATACAAAGATTTGGACTTTGGACTCCCAAAAAGACCACGTGTCCAAGATCGCTGAGATGTCTCCGTTTGATGTTAAGCCCGGGGGAGGGGGGGGGGCAGATTCTGTGGCGGCTATCCTGGCTGAACTCTTCGGAGATGGTCATTAGCGTTGTGTATTGGTTTGCTTTTCGAAGTGATTTTTTTGCCTTATATATTGTTCGACTCAATTATCTTTTTTGCAGCCATGAAATTCGGGAGCGTGGCAATGATGGCAAGGCCACCGAGACGTGAAAAGCTGAATGTCTCCAAAGCAGGAGGCACATATGCGAAACCTGGATTTTCTGTCGGGCCTTCTGCTCCGCTAAAGGCTCTACTTCCCTCAAGCAAGTCAATTACGCCTGCAAGATAGGCTACGCTCGCGAGCGGGATGGACGGATTGCTAACCGTGCAAACGGGAGGTGATCTAGTTCGTAAAGGTCGAGAGGCTGCGAAGCGTGTTGTTGAGGCTCCGACGGAGGAGCCAGAAGATAGCCGAAAGAAAGGCAAGGCCACCGCTCTAACGGAGACCGTTGCCTTCTCCCCCACTCCTCATTTCGCGAAGATTACGCTCGCCGCATACTTCACGAGTGATTTTTTCGCCTTATATATTGTTCGACTCAATTATCTTTTTTGCAGCCATAAACTTCGGGAGCGTGGCAATGATGGCAAGGCCAGCGAGACGTGCGAAGCTGAATGTCTCCAAAGAGGGAGGCACATCTGCGAAACCTGGATCTTCTGCTGGGCCTTCTGCTCCGCTAAAGGCTCTACTTCCCTTAAGCAAGTCAATTACGCCTGCAAGACAGGCTACGCTCGCGAGCGAGATGGACGGATTGCTAACCGTGAAAACGGGAGGTGATCTAGTTCGTAAAGGTCGAGAGGCTGCGAAGCGTGTTGTTGAGGCTCCGGCGGAGGAGCCAGAAGATAGCCGAAAGAAAGGCAAGGCCACCGCTCTAACGGAAACTGTTGCCTTCTCCCCCACTCCTCATTTCGCGAAGATTATGCTCGCCGCATACTTCACGAGGTGTCTGGGAAGCTGCTCGTGCCGCCGGAATATACGGAAGTTGAAGATCCATCAACGAGGCACTGGGTCGACACCGCCGCCCGCTTCCTTCTGGTTGTAAGCGTTGTTTGACTATTTTGTTGTTATGCGTTTAGTATGTGACGCACTTGCTGACAGTTTTTTTTTCTGTGTAGGCCGAAGTTGGTTTGTCCCAGATTGGGATGACCAACGAAAAGCTTCATATGGCCCATATGCGAAGTGGGGTCGAGGTGGAGAAGTTGCGCAAGCGAATAGGCAAGCTGGAGGCGGAGTCGATCAAGGGGCGTGCAACCTTTAGGGCGGAAGCAAAAGCTGAGTTGGAGAAAGAACATGCTGACGCCCTTAAGGATCTGCGAGCCAAGCTATCCCGTGGGGTCCAGAAGGCTAACAGTCTAATGGATGATAAGGAAATTCTGGAGGCTGACTTGTCCGTCTGCGTGGGCGAGTGGAAGAGCTGGAGAAAGAGAAGGAGGAATCCTCTTTGAGGCACAAGACTAAGGTGGATGCTGCAACCAAGTTTGCGGTTGCTACCTACCTACTATCTCCCACCTTCCGGAAGATCGACGATGCCAAGCGTTTCAAAGCGATAGCTGATACAGTGGCCTCCATTTGTCACCTATTTCGCTGAGCGTCCTGAGCTGGAATGGGACACCGCTGCTATATGGGATGTGGTGTTGGCCTGGGGCTCCTCCGAAAGTGATGTCAATTTTGAGGACACTCTAGCTACTGCTGGGGGCGATGAGGCTGCTTCCCATGGCGGGGGTGAAATGTAAAATGTCATGCTCTTTCTTGTTTTGAGGTCGTCTGTGAACCTTGTCTGTAATATTTTCCTTTTCCTGCTGATGTTGACAATATCCACTTTCTAGCGATTTATTTTTATTGTTACTTTGCTGCTTCCACATATTACGCACGCGGTAGATAGATATCCCTCGTCTAGCTCTTTTCTTAAGTCAATCTTGATGCGTTACCTCAAACTTTTGAACGGTACTTTAGGAATCGTCATATGTGCGATTCGGCATTCCGCGGAAGGTCATTCTGCCTATGGCTGGCGTGTTACGAATGACCATGTCCCAGGATGCGTTATTTGGGGTTCGCTCTGCCTCAGGGTGGCGTGCTATGAGCGAGAACTTGCCCCATGGGGCATTCCGCGGGAAATCATTCTCCCTACGGGGTAGCGTATAATGAATGACTATGTCCCGGGATGCTTTTGTTTAGGATGCGCTCTGCCTCGGAGTGGCGTTTTATGAGCGAGATCCTGCCCTTAGGGCATTCCGCAAGCAGTCATTCTGCCTACAGGGTGGCATGTTATGAATAACCAAGTCCCGAGATGCGTTCATTTGGGATTCGCTATGCCTCGGGGTGGCGTTTTATGATCGAGATCCTGCCCCTTAGGGCATTCCGCGGGCGGTCATTCTGCCTACGGGGTGGCATGTTATGAATGACCATGTCCCGGGATGCTTTTCTTTGGCATTCGCTCTGCCTCAGGGTGGCATTTTATGAGCGAGATCCTGCCAGTTAGGGCATTCTGCTGGCAGTCATTCTTCCTACGGGGTGGCGTGTTATGAATGACCATGTCCCAGGATGCGTTATTTGCGATTCCGTCTGCCTCTGGGTGGCGTTTTATGAGCGAGATCCTGCCCCTTAGGGAATTCGCGGGAGATCATTCTACCTACAGGGTGGCGTGGTATGAATGACCATGTCTCGGGATGCGTTATTTGGGATTCGCTCTGCCTCGGGGCAGCATTTTATAACCGAGATCCTGCCCCTAAGGGCATTCCGCAGGCCATCATTCTGCCTACGGGGTGACGTGTTATGAATGACCATGTCTCGGGGTGCGTTATTTGGGATTCACTCTACTTCGGGGTGGCGTTTTATGAGCGAGATCCTGCCCCTTAGGGCCTTCGCGGGCAGTCATTCTGCCTACGGGGTGGCGTGTTATGAATGACCATGTCCCGGGATGCGTTCGTTTGGGATTCGCTCTGCCTCAGGGTAGCTTTTTATGAGCGAGATCCTGCCCCTTAGGGCATTCTGCGGGCGGTCATTCTGCCTACGGGGTGGCGTGTTATGAATGATCATGTCCCGGGATGCGTTTGTTTGGTATTCGCTCTGCCTCGGGGTGGCGTTTTATGAGCGAGATCCTGCCCCTTGGGTCATTCCGCGGACGGTCATTCTGCCTACGGTGTGGCGTGTTATGAATGATCATGTCCCGGAATGCGTTCATTTGGGATTCGCTCTGCGTCGGGGTGGCGTTTTATGAGCTAGATTTTGCCCCTTAGGGCATTCAACGGACGGTCATTCTGCCTACGTGGTGGCGTGTTATGAATGACCATGTCCTGAGATGCGTTTGTTTGGGATTTTCTCTACCTCGAGGTGGCATTTTATGAGCGAGATCCTGCCCCTTAGGGCATTCCGCGGGGGGTCATTCTGCCTACGGGGGGCGTGTTATGAATGACCATGTCCCGGGATGCGTTCATTTTGGATTCGCTCTGCCTCGGGGTGGGATTTTATGAGTGAGATCCTATCCTTTTTTTAGATGTAGGCATTCCACGAAAAGTGTAATTGTATTGATTGAGCTTGAGCGTTCCACGAACGCTCTTGCATTGATAGTTTAAAAACATGATTACATCTCTTCTTCGGCTGAATAATATTTGCGCAAATGTAGTGAATTCCATGTCTTGCTTACTGCCTCTCCTCTCATGATGGCGAGCTTGTACATGCTGGGGCCTATCATGTCACTTATGAGGTAGGGCCCTTCCCATTTGGCCGCCAACTGGCCGTGCCTTTCCTTCTCTTTTCTGTCGAAGATCCTCTTGAGCGCCATATCCCCTTCCTCCAGTAGGCGGGACCAGACTTTGCTGTTGTACGGTTTGGCCACCTTCTCTTTCTCGGCGATGGTGCGCTTTAGCGCTGCTTCTCGTCTCTCCTCCGTCATGTTCAGCTGGTGGAGCAAGTTGGAGTGATTTTCCTCTGAAGCGTAGGCTCAGACGCGGAGCGTTGGAAGTTGCACCTTGTTGGCACCATGGCCTCACACCCGTAGGTTAGGGCAAATGGTGTTTCTCCGGTCGCCGTTTTGTAGGTGGTGCGGTGGTCCCAAAGGATGTGGGGGAGCTCAGTTGTCCAGGCGCCTTTCGTTTCGCCTAGCCTTCTTTTCAAACCTCAAAGAATGGAATTGTTGGATGACTCTACCTGACTGTTTGCTTGCGGGAACGCCACATACGCCATGCTATATTTTATTTTGTGATCTTTACAGAACTTCCGAACAGGCGGCAATGAAACTGCGTCCCGTTATCGGTAATGATCATGTCTGACGTTCCATTGCGTCTGCAGGCACCTCATTCAGCTCCAGAAAGCCTCATAACCCGCTTTGCCAGTCACACTCTTCAACTCCCACTTCCACGCCCTCGTCCTCTACTGCTACTCCGTCCAGTTGGAAAACTTCCTTCATAACCGTCACTTGTCTTTCCCCTTCGAAATCCATGGCGGTGTCCATTGCCTTCCCGTCTGACTTGCTCCAACGTCCATCCATCCATTTGCGCCATCGCTCCTTGCGCTTTTCCAGCCAACTTCATCAACTCCTCCTCCTTTGTTTCAAAATTCCCATTGATTTGCCCTAGTACCAATGACGAATCCAAGTAGATTTTTACCTTCCTCGCGCCCATGTTTGCGACGAATCCAAGTAGATTTTTACCTTCCACGCCTCCTCTTTATCAGACGGCCCCCTATCCAATGCAAAACCCTCGACGATGAAATCTGCCAAGACTTCGGCCTTGTTCGCCCCTATTTTTTTTATCTTCGAGTCTGTTGTGCAAATCTCCCGGGGCGAGATTTGCTAGGCTCATTTGGAAATCTCGACAATCCGCTGTGTTGTGGGTCGTCTTCTAGTGCCAATCGCACCATCTTCTGAAAACTGGGGGCTCCGGCCGTCTTTGACTCTTAATGCGAGGTCTGTCGCGGCGTACCCTCACGGAAGATGCGTCCTCCTTATCTATCTCAGTGGTATAAATCTCTCTCCTGCCTTCCGCTCCGAGAGCCTTCTCTTTGTAGCTGGATCGCTCCGGGGTTCTTCCTCTTCTTGGCGGTGATTTGTTGCCCCTCTTCGTATCCATCGCTTTCCCCCTGCGCTCTGCTGGTACTAGTGCCTCCTCCAGGGTTATAGCTCGGTGCACCAGGTTATCCAGGTTCGGCCATGTTTTGATCCCTTGCTCGTTCGTAATCAATGCTCTTTGAAGCTCCTAGTTCCTTGTTGCCATCCTCAGACTTCCCGCGATGGTATTCCACCTGTCGTAAAAGTCCACCATGGCTTCCCCTTCCCCATGCGTGCAGTTTATGAGCGCCGTAACCATCAGCCTCCAGCAAATTTGAGTGGCAAATTTGGATGTGAACAATGTTGCGAACTGCTCAAAGTTATCAATGATTCCTTCTGGGAGAGATGTGTACCACGTGCGACACCTTCCTCCAAATGTGATGGGAAAGGCTTTGCATAGGTCATCATCCATGAGCTGCATCTTAAGCGTGAAGGCGCTCAAATGGTTGTTTGGGTCGATGCTTCTGTTGTAAGCGCGAAGGCCTAACGAGGAGAAGTTGGGGGGTACTGGGCTTCGAAACAACTTTTTCGCAAGCGGGTTATGTAGAATGATGGGCCCTTTCCCCTTTCCGCTTTCCTTCCTAAAACTTGGCTGCAAGTGCTCCTCCAAGAAGCTTAGATCAGCCTCCGGTCTTTCTTCCTCCGTTTCCTCATCTTCGGGGTCATCGACCTCCACCACCTTTATCTTTCCTTTGTCCCGCTGCGCCCGGGACGTGTCTAGAGCGTCGTGATCCTTCATTCCCTCCTTTATCAGCGAGAGTATCTGGTTGATGTTGCTCTGCATTTGTGAGATATGATTCCCGTGATCTTTCACCCTGTCTTCTAGCTCCACCTTTTCTTCCACCTTCGAGGATAACCCGTGCAACGCCATCGGTTCTACGACCTCCTTCATGGGGGTAACAGAGTCATGACTTGTGTGAGCATTTAATGCTCTATTTGGTGTGTAATAAACGTCAGCTCCCATGACTACGCCTTCGATGACATTTAATGTAGTTGTCAGACTAGCAGGGTTAGTGCTGACAACCGTCCCATCCACCGTACAACTTTCTTGCCTGCGATCTCCGAGGTGTATCTACCTCCGGTCGATATCTGTTAATGGGCCCTTCTAATTATTGGGCCGACTCTTGCCTTGTGGGTCGGGCTCCTGTCTTGCGGGCTTTGGTTTTGGCATTTGTCCCTGTATGGCCAGCAATTATCTTGCTCCCTATGTCAGCTAGGTCTTGATCTTTCCATCCTTGGTAAAGTCGTTGGCAAAGAAGCTTGAACATCATTCCACGGTCACTGGTTGATCCCTCCAACTCTGGCCTCATTAGTGCCCATTTGGACTACGCCAACCCGACAATAGGTCTGCTTATTTAAAGGCTCGGGCTTGTCTTGTCCGACCAGTATCTCTGTCTACACGGTCCAGCTGACGTTACTTGTATCACACTGTTTCTCAACGCACCGGCTTACTACAACTGACCTTGTTTCTTTGGGAAACTATTTCCCTTAGTATAGTTGTCCAGGTCCTTATATGCTTTTCCCACTTATGTACTTTGACTCATAAGATTCTCCCTTCGACTATTCGCGATAACCCATATTCTACTCAAAATTGACCAATATGTTACAAATTTTCTCGATGAACTTTCTACATATAAGTTGGTTTATGCTGGCAGGTCAACCTAATGTCTCCTAGATGTCTTTCATATTCCTGCTTCGACCCTTCTTAACTATTTTCTTTTATGCATGCATTGCCCAGTTGACGACCACCATTTTTTCTATAACGCCATATGGTTTCCTCCTTGCGTCTTTACTTTTACTACCCTTCTGTTGAGGTTTTTTACTATCTTTGGTTGCCGACTTCGTTGGGAAGTATCTCGTTGTTGTTTTGGGTCAAAGCGTCCAACAGAGGCTTTCTCTTGGTAAGCTTTTACATACCTCATTCACGTTGTTTGCCTCGATCGATGCTCGTACATGGCCTTGATCTCTTAGTTAGCTTTGGCAGTGGCTTGACTAACTGAATATGGTTCTTTCTTAACTAGTCGTTTCCTCTGAATGACTATTATTTATCCTTAACTGGTTGCCCCCCTCCTGATGACAACCCACCATGTTGCACCCACTCAAAGTAGAGCACATTCAGTAAGATAACTTTCCGCGCTCCTCAGCTTGGGAATGTTATCCTCCTCGTATTATTTGTTCATTTTCTTGAGTTTGATTTACTTACCTTCATTCTACTCCTCCTCTAGGGACTTACATGTCGTTCCGCCCTTCATACCCTTCCCTACGCTCTTGTGTGTCTGCGACTGGCTTGATTTCTTTTCTTAGGCCAATCTCAAGATTACCAATTTAAACCTGCCTTAGTCCGACAATGCTCCTTGTCTCCCTTGACGGATGTAACTGGTAGGGTCTCTCGAATCCCTCTTATTCCCTTGAATCACTCCTATTACCTCATCTTAGTTAGAAACACCTTAGGTCTTGCTTGCAAAACCTTGGATACCCTCACAATAGGGTGCCCCTCCACTTGAGTCTTGACTACCACGGAACGTAGCACCACACGGTGACTTATCTAAACTTGGGTAGTGGAGATTGCGGATCACATGACCATTCAGTAGGAATCCTGTAACAAGATATTGTCCGTTTTGGACCTTGACCCTCACGGTTTTTTACTTGGGGTGCAATTCAAGTTGACTTCCCATAAGGTCACCCATCATTGTTGTCCTTCACACTAACCACGTTTAACTTTGGAGTTCTCAACGCCCTCTTTGAGGTTTGTCCCACCATCGTTCAATAGGGCCGCCCTTGCTTGGACGAGCACTACTTTTACAAAAATGCCCTTGAGTAATCAAAATAAATCAAAATGCAAAAAACAATTGAAATAATTGATATAGTTGTTGTCCCGGTACATCTCGAAACAAACACTCATATTACGCCCGCACTCACCTAGATGAAGCTTGTCACATTTTGAGCATAGTGGATATAGTTGTTGTGCCGGTACATCTCTCGTGGAGATCTCCTGGCTCCAGGACTGATGTTGGCTAAATGAACTAGATCCCCACTTAGAAGGGTAGGTCGAGTAATTCATGGCCTCATAGTTGGTTGGCTCCTTCCTCTTCTTCGTACTAAGCCTCGCATCCCTCTCTTGTTCAGCCATCTTCTCATCCCTCTCAATGCGAAGGGCAGCTCAATATGGCTTGAGATGCCCTCTCTGCTTCTCCCATACATTTTCTCAGTTTTGTCCTCAAACCCCGAACATAACGATCTCGCATCCCTGCTGCAGTCCGGTACACGGGATCAACATACTTGCATAGCTTCTTGAATAGCTCTTTGTACTCCGTGACACTCTGCCCCCAGTGCTGCTCCAACTTCATGAAATCTTCCCTCTTATCATCCCAGACTGTTTGGGGGGATGTACTCATCGAGGAACATTTTCACAAACTGGTTCCAGGTGATATCCAGTTGTACCACTTCACTCTTCGGTTAGAGATGCCACCAATCTCTAGTAGTTCCCTAGAGCTAGGGCTGGGAAACGGTGTGGTCTGCTCCAACCAGATCATATACACGGTTTGCGGTCCAGACCAAGAGGGTAGAATAGAGACCATGGACCAGACTATACACTATATGGTCAAGACCACGCCTGTGTGGTGCGGTCTGGACCGAGTAGAACATATTCAACAAAACCTGTAGTATCCACCTTGTCATAGGAAGCAACAAAATGAAACAAAATATAATGGTGACAGAGTAGGAGATTGATTTTAGCATTCATTACATACAATGTACAACATTTTCAAACAAAAAGGAGGCTCATTAATTATTACCATCAAACAAACAAAGGGGAAGCTCGTCTGATCGAGGGATTCTGGGTTGGAGGGGCCAAGGTCGCAATGGCGGATGTCGTTGGCAGGCAGGTAGCAGTCAATGCCAGGAAATATAGAATGTTTCAATGGAGAAGGTCGATGGCGATGGTACAAGTCGATGGAGGTGATCGATGGTGATGGAGCCTCATGGGATCGATGGCGGAGGTCGATGGCTATGAACAAAGATCGTGCAACAAAAATTCTAGATAGTCAGCGACAAAGCTCCAAAGTCGACGGCGGAGCGGATGATGGACACTCAGACAGGGTGTAACACCCTAACCCGGTCGGGTACTAATTTTACCAAAATATCCTTGAAAATTAAAACACTCAAATCTTAAATTGAAATGGGAAAAATTTTCATAAATAAATTTATGAAAACACACTCATGTAGTTCAAAGCAGCGCCCTAATACGTGGGCAACTTAACTCAAACTATAAAAAAAAACTCAACTTGATCTCCAGTCTATACTCATAATCATAAAATATCATAACTAACTAGTCTCAAGTGTTTCTGCTTGTGTGAAAATCTGACTAGACATCTTCTGTGACGCTCGTACCGTCTTCCTCTAGCTAGCTTCCCTCGAACTGTTTCTCTCGATCTCGCTGCTCTCTAACTGCTCCCCTAGCTCAATCCTCTTCAAACTGGTGAGTGAGTTGGGTTCAGTCTACGCCCTTACGTTATAATAGTCTATTACTTTAGTATTTTACTTCAGACACTTAACTTAAACTGGTGGGAGTTGTTTGTACTTCCACTCTTATAAAAATCTTAACTCTTAAAACTGTATGGGAGTTACTATTACTCTTCCTTCTCAAATCTCAACTAAAATACTTGACCGACACGGGGATCCCTCACTAGCTAGTCCGATTGCCCAACTCATACGTATGAGAAGCCCTCCAGGCTTTCCTTAAACTTAAACTTATCGTGGAAGGCTCCTTCCACAATTCTCAAGAGCATAACTGCTGCTCATCTTAAAAATCTCAAGATCATAACTGCGGCTCAACTTAAATATATCAAGAGCTTAACTGTTCCTCTGTCTCAAGAGCATAACTGCTGCTCTATCTGAAAATCTCAAATGGCAACGGACTGACGCTAGTGACTAAAAACACTTAAAATGACTTCACCTTCTTGAAGGTGAGTTACTTTTTAAAAAGAACTTGTTTCTTAAACCTTAACAATAACTTATACTCGTAAAATTTCAAAGTAAATAATAGACATTCACTTCAAGTCATAATTCAAACAAGGCACATATCATCAATCATAAGCATAATCAAACAACGCAGTCACTTCATCAAAATACTTAAAGCTCGTAATACTTAAAAACCATGTAAGGCGTAGAATTTACTCCATTTACACTCACCTCATTACAATAGGCTTATCAATGGGTCGGATACGGGGCGAGTACCCCATATCCATTGCTCACTCTGTATGCCCGCGGGTAAAACCCGTACCCGCCCCATTAACCTTTATGGGCAGAAAATTTTGACCAAGACCAAGACCAAACGGGTATTGATAGACCGTTAATTACACATGTTTTCACCCCTGTTCTTACACCGTTTGAGATGTGGTTTCTCGTGTTTTAGGCCGATTTCACGCTAGGTTGTGTTTGTTTGTGATATTTCAGGTCCTAGTACGTGAATGGAGGCTTGGGAGCGAGTTTGGGGTCGATTGGACGAAGATCGGGCGCGAGACAAAACAAGAAGGAAGCCACACGGGCACACCCACAACTCACACGGCCGTGCAAGTGACCACTTTGGCCGTGTGAGATTGTGCGAGAGCAAACACGGCTTCCCCTGATTATCGCACGGCCGTGTGATGGAGTGGTTTGGCCATGCGAGTTTCGCCGAGAGCAGACACGGGCAGATGAAAATCCCACACGGCCGTGCGACCCTGGCCGTGTGAGAAGCCTGAAGATCGAACTAATTGGAACGCAGCGTTTTGACTCACACGGGCAACTGGGTATGCCACACGGCCGTGTGGCCCTACCCGTGTGAGTCGGGAATTCCTGGTTTTAACCCAATTTCGGGCTGCAAGAGAGAGGATGGGACTTTTTGAGCAAAAACAGAGCCCTAGAGAGAGAAAGGACGAAGAACACATCCTAGAAGCTATCTTGGAGCTGGGTTTCATCAAATCAAGCTTGGAGATCGTCATAGGAGTGGAAATCATCATCCCAGAGCAGATTCTTCCCATAATTATGAGTATGACTGCTTTGTATCTTGTTTTCCTCTCTCTCTCTATGGAGTAGAACCCCTCTCTCACTTGGGGATGAAGAACCCTAGTTCTATGTGTTAGGGATTGATTGTAATGACTTGGGATGATATTACTGTTTGATTTTAATCGAATGATGCATGTTTATTGATTCAATTGAAGTCTGATCAACTTTTCCTGATTCCTGCTGCAATCTGAGATAGATAGAATCTGATTAGGTTGCTAGAGTCTCATCATTCGGTAGTAGGAGATTGGCTATACGAGAGTTAGCCAGTGTACTGCTTTGTATTGGAATCCAATTCCAGTAGTGGAGTTCTGTTCTTGCTGCTGCAGCTTTCTATCCCGGTGAAGACTAGTCGTCTGCCGGGTAGTTAGACTGAGAGGGCTTGGTCAGCTTAAGAGATTCCAAGCTACTGTCGGATCTTCCGCAGTCTAATCAACAGTAAATCAACCCAGGGAAATACAATTGAAACCTAACTAAGGAGCTAGGGGGATTCATTCCCGAGTGACTCTTACCTGCTTGAGAAAACCGTGTCAATTCCTGCTTTCTTTCTGCTTTTGCTTTTAAACAACAATCACTTACTTTAGTTGGCTAGATAATAGAGAATCACGGAGTAAGCAGTAGATCTAGACCCCGGGTTGATAATATAACTTGCCTGTTACTGCATTCCCGGTCTGCGATTACACTTGGTCGCAGATTGGTGTTGTGTTTTGGCGTGTCAAGTTTTTGGCGCCGTTGCCGGGGGAACGGCGCCAAAAACGGAGTAAGCAGTAGATCTAGACCCCGGGTTGATAATATAACTTGCCTGTTACTGCATTCCCGGTCTGCGATTACACTTGGTCGCAGATTGGTGTTGTGTTTTGGCGTGTCAAGTTTTTGGCGCCGTTGCCGGGGGAACCCTCTAGGTTATTGGGGAAACGTGAGAATTTGTTACTCTAGCCTTTTATTTACCGCATTTTATCTCTTCCACCTGTGTGCCTTCACGGGTTGCTTCTGCTGATTGTGTGCAGGTAGTGCATGACCCGTAGCCAGTCAGGAGATCTACTACCACTAGACCAGGAGCTTGAACGAACCTGCAGAAACTTCAAGCGGGCTCTAAAGGCCCGACTGGCTGCGGAGGAGGCGCTATCACAGCTGCAGTTAGAAGAAGAGGAAGAAGAGATGGCTGATCCAGAGAACCATGATGTGATCCTTGAGGAGCAGACCATGGGATCCTACTGGACCGCTAGAGCTGCGGACATGAGGTCACCCATTCAACATCCTCATGTCCCGGCCAACAACTTTGAGGTGAGCACCTCAGTAATCACCATGCTGCGCAGTTCAGTGGTGTTCCGTGGTAAGGAGGGGGAGTGCCCCCGATCACATCTCAGGCGATTCCACGAGCTCATTGATGGAATCAAGATCAATGGGGTACCCGCAGATACCATCTAGCTGAGGTACTTCCCATTCACCCTGAAGGGGCAGGCCAAGGAGTGGCTAGATACTCGACCTCCAGGCTCTATCACCACGTTCGCCAACCTGGCGGACAAGTTCCTCACCCGCTATCATCCTCCATCCAAGACAGCTGACCTGCAGAAGCAGATCACCCACTTCACCCAGGATGAAGATGAGACCATCCGGGACGCCTGGGAGAGATACAACAGCCTCTTCCTGAGGTGTCCCAATCATGGTTTCAACGATGCTTTCAAGGTGGGCACCTTCTATCACGCCCTCTTCCCGGCGGACAAGCAGCTGATTGATTCGGTTTGTGGCGGGAACATGCTGACCAAAACACTGCCACAGCTGAATCAACTCTTTGAGGAGATGGCGGAGAAAGGGTACGATTGGGGCACTGCCAGGAGATCGAGACGAGCACCATGCCGGGGTGTGCATGCTGTGGGCACCCAGTCATTTGATTTGGTGCAGGTGGTATCGAAGCTGGTTTCAGCTATCGATCGTGCTGGTTTGATTGCAGGTACAGGACAGCAGCAGGCGATACTCTGCCAGTGGTGCGAGAGCACCCATCATACAGTGGAAGACTGCCAGGCGATGAAGGAATCGACCACACCCGAGGAGCAAGTGAACTTCATCAACAATGTCAGGCGCAATGACCCCTACAGTAACACCTACAATGAGGGGTGGCGCCAGCATCCCAACTTCTCCTGGGGTGGGGCAAATTCCAGACCACCAGTCCCCCAGGGACCACCGGGCTTCCAGAGGCCACCATATCAGCCCAGACAGGGGCAATTCCAGCAGCAGCAGTCTCTCTACCAGCCCATGCAGGGGCATGCTGCTCCATCACAGCCGCGACCTTTCCAGCAGCCAGGTGCAGCCCTGCCGCCCCAGTGCAGAATGATCAGATGGCTGAACTGCGGGAATTGGTGGGTTCTCTTGCCAGTTCTAGTGCTCAAAAATTTAACACTATCGAGCAGTTCATGGAAAAGGCATCGGGTAAATTCCTGGCTCTTGAAGCTGGCCAGAGGAACACACAGGCTGTCTTGCAGGATATCCAAACCCAGCTGGGGAGTGTGGCTCAAGCAGTGGCACAAAGGGCACCTGGTACCTTGCCCGGTCAGACCATTCCTCACCCTTAGAACCCGAATGAGCACTGCAATGCCATCATGACCAGGAGTGGCAAGATGACTGTTGATCCACCTGCTCGGGCACAAGAGAGAGAGGCCCCTGCCTCGGCATCTCCGGCAGCTGAAGAAGAAGCAGAGAAGGAAGTTGAGGTGCCCGCACCTAAACCGCAACCAGTAGTGAAGGAGTATATCCCTAAACTCCCCTTCCCTACTCGGTTGCACAAAGACAGGCTGGAGGCAGAGTTCGAGAACTTCATGGCCATGCTTAGGAAGCTGAATATCCAAGTACCTTTCCTGGAGGCACTATCTCAAATGCCTAAGTATGCGAAGTTCCTGAAAGATCTTCTCTCAAAGAAGCAGAAGCTGAGCTAGCTGGCCACTGTGGAGCTCAGCGAGGAGTGCTCCGCCATTCTGCAGAACAAGCTTCCGCAGAAACAGAAGGACCCAGGTAGTTTTACTATCCCGTGCTCTATAGAAAATTTGCATGTAGAGAGGTCCTTGGCGGATTTAGGTGCTAGTATAAATGTTATGCCATATAAACTGTTTAAGAAACTAGGCCTAGGTGAACCCCGTGCTACTAGGATGAGACTTCAATTAGCTGATCGATCTGTAGTGCATCCTAGGGGCATAGTGGAAGGCCTTCTGGTTAAGGTTGGCAAATTCAATTATCCTGTTGATTTTGTGATTTTGGACATAAATGAGGATGTGGATGTGCCATTGATACTGGGAAGGCCTTTCCTGGACACCGTCAAGGCCCTCATAGATGTGCATGATGGGACCTTAGTTTTGAGGGATGGTGAGGAGCTAATAACGTTTTCAATTTCTAATACTCGTCCTGCTTCGTCACCTCTGCATGCTGTACCTCACCAGGAGCACGAGTCTGTCGTGTATCCTTCTGTGTTGCCTATTTTGCAGGTTCGCCCCCCATACCTTCGCCGCCACTCCCGTCCACTCCGTCATCGAAGGAACAGATTAAGGTGGAGTGGCGGCCGAAACAGCAGGCAGCTAAGCCTGCTCGAAAGAAGGCCGGAGACCACTATGAGCTGGTCCCGCCCCCACCTTGGCCATCCGAGTATTCACTCGCTTGCATCCTGCCGGATGGCCAAGTTGAGTTGGCAAATGCTGGTGTCCACATTCGACGTGTGCATGGCCATCATTTGAAGCTGTACCTCAAGAGCGAGGTGGATCCGCTCTTGAAGGCACCTGCTCCTTCACCTCACTGAGCATCCACCGACTGGCGTCCAGCTAAAAGACGGTAAAGAAGCGCTTGTGGGGAGGCAACCCCACCTAGGTTTGCATTTTATTCCCTTTTTCCTTTTGATTTTTTGTGTTTTTTGAGTCTTGAGGGGTTGTTCACGAGTTGTATGTCGTTCTGGAGTGAAAACAGGTCATTTTCGGTGTTCTGGCAGCTCACACGGCCAGCCCAGAATGTCACACAGCCGTGTGGAAAATAATTTTGGCCGTATGAGCTCTCGCAGAATTCCACACGGCCAGATGAAATGTTGGCACGGCCGTATGGAAATTTGCCCTAGCCGTGTTTGCTCTCGCATATTTTGGCACGAGCAAAAGTGCTCATGACACGGCCGTGCGAGTCAGGCCGTGTGGCCGAGACACGGCCTATATATTCGGCTAGCACGGCCGGGTCGTCAGAAATTTCAAAAATCCTCGCCGGAATCCTCTGAAACTCGCCGGAAAACCGCGACAAAACCACACTTTTCGATTTTTTCGGCCATTTTTTGTCATTTTTCCACCAAACCAACAACAAACCCACCCTTCCTACACCAAAAGCGGCCTATCCCTCCATTTTGAGTAGATTTGGACGACGTTTTTGTCACCGGAGGCGATTTCCGGCGAGACTCCGGCGAGGCTCTGACGAGCACTTTAGGGCACTTTTTCGGCTTTTCGTCGCTTCCATCGCCTTCCCCTCATCATCCCTTACACCTCTACTTGAGTCTCCAGGTTTGATTTTGCCTTTAACTATGTTAATTGTGGAGAATTGGGTGTTAGGGTGCATGTTTAGAGAACCTCATTGAATCTTGTGATTTTTGTGCAATTGATTGAGGGGAATGCATGGAGTGTGTTTGAATTGTGTTGGGCAAAGTCCCTCTTGATTGTTTGAGCCCTGGTGTGCAAGAATTGTGCCAATTTCATGCTTACCTTAATAGTGCACACAAGGGGCCCTTATTGATGTGCTTTGAGGGTGTTTTGCTATGGATGTGAACCTTAAGTTGCCTACTTTATCGTGAATGTGCACCCCCACTCAGATTATGCTTGATTTATTGAGTTTTTTACCCCCGAACTATGGATGAAACCATGGTTAGGCTGCTTTCTGTTCTTAAGTGTGCGGGTGTGATTAACATTTTCCTTGGCTCTTTTGGTTCCACTTTGGGCTGTTCTTTTGCAGGACCATGTCGAAGCCCAACCTCCGGCATGAGTATGTTCAAGATTTGAGAAGGGGGGCCCACCGGGATCGTTTTCAGAACGTCCTGGCCTGCAAGTTTGGGCAGCATCATTACTGGTCGAAGCGTGAATTGGAGAAGCTGAACTGTTACGAGCACCTCTCCCCCGTTGTCACCAACCGCTACTGGTGCCGCCTACTCAGCATTCGCGCGAAGGTTTACCATGAGCTCGTGCTTGAGTTCTACACTACCTTCAAGCACGCAGCCACGACCGATTGGAAGGACGAAGCTGCAGTCCAGTTCCGACTCGACGGTGAACCACGCTCCATGAGTTACGACGAGCTGGCGGACGCCCTCGGCCTCAACTTGGTCAATGACAGGGACTACATCACAGAGATCGCCGAGCCAGCAGGGGTGGACTTCGGGAGGCTGTACTTCAGCCTCGCTCGGCCACGTCAGCTTCCCTTCAAGGCGGGGAAGACGAAGGCCAGCACATTGCAGCTCGAAAACCGTCTCCTCCATCACATGCTGGCCAAGTCTTACACCCCAGCCTCAGACAGTGCCAGCGCCATCACCAAGAGATCCCTGTACTTCATCCAGTCCATGCGCCAGAGGGATCATCCCCTACACTTGGGCTCGGTGGTGGCAAGGACCTTCGAGAAGAGTGCTTCTGAGCTGAAGAAACTCCACTGCACTCCTCTCATCACCTGCCTGGCAGAGTACTTCCAGATATGCCTGCAGGGGTGCACAGAGCAGAGAGAGACCACTCCCTTTGGCCGGGTTACGCTCACCAAAATGCTCCTGCTTCGAGAAGAGCGAGGTGTCATGTGGATCAAGGGGTTTCCTCAACCTCAGATCCCGGAGGCGGTCCAGCAGGAGGCTCCCGAGGGTGCAGCTGATGAGGAGGTCCAGCCCGAGGACGTGGATGACACTGCTGCCGCCCGCCCCACCACCTTCGAGTACGGGGGTGGCAGCTCCAGTTTCCCGGGGGCAGGATTACTTCACCTCCCAGTTCGAGCAGCTGCGTCTCCAGAACCAGCAGATCCTCGACCATTAGATGCAGTTCCAGCAGCAGTACGCGGCTCACCAGGCCGAGTACCACCAGAGGATGGCTGTTTACGATGAGAGATTGGACCAGCTCCAGACCCAGCAGGGAGTGACTCTCGCACACATCGAGCGGGAGAGGCGCCGCTCTCTGCGCATGCAGGAGGTACAGGGGGCATCTGCTCCAGCTGCTACCGGGCGAGCAGCCCGTTTGGAGGACTCCATGGGAGGGCTCTCCACTTCCACCTCCCCCAGCGGATGGTGATGATGGTGCTGATGGTGGTGACGCCTTCATGACCGACATCGACTTTGGTGATCTTGGCGATGAGTAGGCTGTACTCGTTGCCCCTCTCAGTGTGTTTTGTTTTTCGTTTTAGACTTTTGTGTGTTTGCTCCATGTGTGAGGAGCTTGAACTTAGTGTCGTTTGTTTTTGTTTTTTTCTTTTGTGGATTGTTTTTGTTGTAGCCGTATGGGCTAACACTTATCCCTAACACACCGTGTGCTAGTGTGTTCTTGGTGTTCGTTCGTGCAGAACTGTCCATCTTCCCGTTTGTTTCTCGCTGACTGGTCCACTTCCAGTCCCCCAGCAATTTCAATCCGGTAACATCGTTCCTCTTCTCTATCCCTCTGCTCCATTGAGGGCAATGTCGTGCTTAAGTGTGGGGGGGTGCTTTGTATCGGTTGGAATGTATATATGTGTGCTTGGAGCCTAGTCCACTGTCCAAATCTCGAGATTTGAGGGCTCCAAGTACTGCTGTTTGATCATATTGGCACTGTGTTTTGATTGATGAATTGGATGGTTTTCGGATTGATGCATGACAGCTTGATTGTGACTAGGACAACCTATGATGAGGACTAAGACGTGCAGTAGAGTTGTGTAGGGGTTCAGTTTTTCAACTGTTTGCTTACCAACTGTGACTTGGATTGATTACTTGTTCTTGACAGTCTCTTATGCATCTAGTTCAGGGTATCAGAATGTGAGATAGAGCATATAGGTAGCCATGTGAGATTTGAGCCTGCTCGTTTCTTTCTTGTGCGATAGATCCCTCTTCCATGATGTGTAGCATTCACGTTGTCACTAGCTAGGATGATGGGGGAATAGGATTAGCCCACGACCAAATTTGACTGTCCTGATGTGTCATATCCCCTAGTCAGCCCTTTTGAGCCGTGTGTTATCCTTTCTTTTGGTCTGAGATGAAAAAAATCACCCTGTTTGCATCTTTTAGAAGGTTCCACAGAGTGGGTTTTACATGTTCTCTGCTGTTTCTGCTAAATTTAATGTGAGTGTTGGAGGTAGTGCTTAAAAGTTGGGCTAGGAAGGTGTTTGAAATATATGCAGAAGTGGTGGCTCTCTTAAGAAATGAAAAGAAAATGAAAGAAAAACAAAGAAAAATTGGAAGCTAAAGAGAGCCACTACCAAAAATCTGAATAATGCCCAGTAAGTAGTGTTTCTTAGCAGTCTGGCTTGGAAATGCTGACATTTATACCTCCTTTGCTCTTGTGCTCTTGAGATATTGAGTAATGCAGAATAGCATAAAGGAAATACCAGTTTGTTTGACTGTGATTGTTTGGGTTTGGAAATGTGGAACCTTGTGCTATGAATACTTCCACCACCTAAAAGGCCTTTTCCCCATGTCCAAGACCCTAGCCAATCATTTGAACCTGTGTCTAAGACCTCCTGATTAGTTAGTGGTGACACCCCATATGTGAACTCTAGCGTTTAGAGGCTGCCATCATGGTGAAGAGATGTTAGGGATTGAGAGAAATAACATGTGCATTTTTCGCATCAAATTGTCCTGACCCCACTGGTCGAGAGTGAGTGATTCATTTTCATATTCTATATACTATTGTACCCCGGTGAGGACCTAGATTGCTCGGTCTCTATTCTGATGTCTTGAGTTGGATGCATGGGTTGACTGTTTTGAGTAAGTGGTTGAGTCAAGTCTAGGTTGGTTGGTGAACAGAAGGGAGACTCTTCCTTTACTCGATTTTGCTGCACTCGAATGTCCTTTGTGGTGGTTGTCCAGGTTGCTGTTGAAGTTGGTCATGTATTGATGTTTGAAAACCAGTACGATTCACGTGTTCTGTGCCTTTATGACTTGTCCCCAATGTTGGTTGATTGAAATATGTGAGCTTACCTTGTGTCTGACTTGGTTTGCTTGGGGACAAGCAAACGGTTAAGTGTGGGGGAGTTTGATAGACCGTTAATTACACATGTTTTCACCCCTCTTCTTACACCGTTTGAGATGTGGTTTCTCGTGTTTTAGGCCGATTTCACGCTAGGTTGTGTTTGTTTGTGATATTTCAGGTCCTAGTACGTGAATGGAGGCTTGGGAGCGAGTTTGGGGTCGATTGGACGAAGATCGAGCGCGAGACAAGGCAAGAAGGAAGCCACACGGGCACACCCACAACTCACACGGCCGTGCAAGTGACCACTTTGGCCGTGTGAGATTGTGCGAGAGCAAACACGGCTTGCCCTGATTATCGCACAGCCGTGTGATGGAGTGGTTTGGCCGTGCGAGTTTCGCCGAGAGCAGACACGGGCAGATGGAAATCCCACACGGCCGTGCGACCCTGGCCGTGTGAGAAGCCTGAAGATCGAACTAATTGGAACGCAGCGTTTTGACTCACACGGGCAACTGGGTATGCCACACGGCTGTGTGGCCCTGCCCGTGTGAGTCGGGAATTCCTGGTTTTAACCCAATTTCAGGCTGCAAGAGAGAGGATGGGACTTTTTGAGCAAAAACAGAGCCCTAGAGAGAGAAAGGACGAAGAACACATCCTAGAAGCTATCTTGGAGCTGGGTTTCATCAAATCAAGCTTGGAGATCGTCATAGGAGTGGAAATCATCATCCCAGAGCAGATTCTTCCCATAATTATGAGTATGACTGCTTTGTATCTTGTTTTCCTCTCTCTCTATGGAGTAGAACCCCTCTCTCACTTAGGGATGAAGAACCCTAGTTCTATGTGTTAGGGATTGATTGTAATGACTTGGGATGATATTACTGTTTGATTTTAATCGAATGATGCATGTTTATTGAGTCAATTGAAGTCTGATCAACTTTTCCTGATTCCTGCTGCAATATGAGATAGATAGAATCTGATTAGGTTGCTAGAGTCTCATCATTCGGTAGTAGGAGATTGGCTATACGAGAGTTAGCCAGTGTACTGCTTTGTACTGGAATCCAATTCCAGTAGTGGAGTTCTGTTCTTACTGCTTCAGCTTTCTATCCCGGTGAAGACTAGTCGTCTGCCGGGTAGTTAGACTGAGAGGGCTTGGTCAGCTTAAGAGATTCCAAGCTACTGTCGGATCTTCCGCAGTCTAATCAACAGTAAATCAATCCAGGGAAATACAACTGAAACCTAACTAAGGAGCTAGGGGGATTCATCCCCGAGTGACTCTTACCTGCTTGAGACAACCGTGTCAATTCCTGCTTTCTTTCTGCTTTTGCTTTTAAACAACAATCACTTACTTTAGTTGGCTAGATAATAGAGAATCACGGAGTAAGCAGTAGATCTAGACCCCGGGTTGATAATATAACTTGCTTGTTACTGCATTCCCGGTCTGCGATTACACTTGGTCGCAGATTGGTGTTGTGTTTTGGCGTGTCAGGTATCGGTGAACCCGCGGGTCATTGGTTACCCATGGCTTGTCTAGAAATAGAAGCCAACCAAGTTCCTGAAAATCATTAAGCATTACCTGAATTACTGAAAACCAAGTTCTTATAACATTCAACAAGAAACCATGAACTGAAAACCCAAAAACTTGACTCAAAATCAACAATACGACCATAAATAAACCCAAAAATAAGAATCACTCAAATCCAGAATTGAAACCCATAGAGTGTAAACAAACCCAGCTAACAAACTTCTGAAATGACACTGCGAGTCAAAAAGATTGAAACACAAAAAACTATAACACAAGCCATTCTGAAGAGCAACAATCAGTCTTGATCTTCACCCCTAAGTCGCCCTTTCCCGTCATTGCATCTTCTTTCAATGAGGATAAAGTTCTTGAAATCCAACAACATTCACAACTTGCAAATTACTATCGAACAACTTTTATCAGAAGCAAGGCTGCATCAGTAAAATAATGTAACAGAGCACACACCCACAGCTAGTCCAGTAGGTTGACGACTGCAACTACGTCGTCTTCATCTCCTTCCAGCTCCTTTTGCGTTCCAGCTTCATCTGATTCATCACAGTCTGAGACGTGAAAATTCAATTCGAAGAACAGATAAACAAGTTACAAAAGTGCAACTACAACTAAATCAGTTACATGTGCTCTCTTCCACCGTGGTATCATCCATTGCCATAGTTGAAATAACTCCCTCCAGCGCTTTCATTTGAGAGGCAGAAACTACGATAAACAACAAGACTTAAGTAATCAGTTTGAACCATAGCAAAGTAATCAGAATTCACTCAATTCAGACCTAAAATAAAAAAAGAATCACCTTTGTTATCATCCTGAATCCAGGACCTTAATATCATCATAGCTTCTATTGTTGAAGGATAAAGTCTGCTCCGATGGGGATCAAGAAGCCTCCCACCGGAACTAAAGGCAGATTCAGATGTAACACTTGTAACAGGCACAATAAGTAAGTCCCTTGCAATGTCTTGCAAAATGGGATACTTGGTACCATTGAACTTCCACCAACCCAACACATCAAAATCCGCTGTTCTAGGATGAACATCCTCAGCTAGATAGTGATCTAACTCGGTGGTTACTACAGATGTTCTGGTTTTCTTTCTTTGGCTAACATACATATCAAAATCCATATCTGTAGCCGAAGAAGAAGGATGAACAGAAGACGACCCAACAATGTTTTTGGTGGCTTTTCTTTGATACTCAACAACCAAGTCAGCAACAACTATTCTGACCCTTTCACTCACTATATCAGTATTAGTGATACCGAATTTTCCAGCATAGTAATCAACCAGATCCAATTTATATCGGGGATCCAATACAACAGCAACAGCCAACAGTAAATGAATGTCATCCCAATACTTCACAAACTTTAGCCACATGTTCTCAACCATAGAAACAATCATCGGATTAGGATCACCTAACCATTCCACCAAATGTAACCTCAAAACACAAACTTTAGCAAAAAAACTGATTCGTTGTTGGGTAGTTTGAACCAGAAAAAACTAAAGTGATGTCCTTGAAAACATTAAGTTTGTCAACCAAAACAGCAGCAAAATCCCACTGCTCGTTGGTAGGCAGAGAGTTGTATTGAGGCTCCCTCATTTTCAATATAGAGATGTATTGGGTAGTTTCTAAGACCAACTTCTTAGAAACAGCCAATTTAAGTTGTTGGGCAATTTCATGGAAAAACTCCACTCTCCTAGGTGTTCATGTCCAAAAGACCACACTTTCCCTGATTTTATCAATACCATCCTTCAATACATCAAGCTCATCCCTCACAATCATATTAAGGATGTGAGCAAAGCACCTCATATGAAGAAGTGTCACATCCCTAATTAGATTAGATAACACTAGCCGTTGTTTAACTAGATCTATCATGGAATCATTGGTAGTACAATTGTCAAGAGTAATTGTTGACAATGTACTATCAATGTTCTATGCTCGGATGCATTGAGCTAGCTTTGCAGCCAACCTCTCACTAGTGTGTGGGGCAGGGAGATAAGCAAACATAATGAGATGGTTTCGCAGCTTCAAAGAGTTGTCTATATAATGGGCAGTCAATGTAGTTAAAAACGAGTTTCTACATAGAAACGTTTTGGTGATCTACAAGCGTAAAATCGTAAGTTTTTAAGTTTTAAAGCGAGTTTTTAACTACATATATTATAAAAACGAAGATTTTGCGTAGAAGCGTTTTAGTGACCTAGAAACTTAAAATCGTAAGTTTTTAAGGTTTAAAGCGCGATTTTGACTACATTGTGGGCAGTCACAGCCATTTATGCCCTTTTTGGTTTGTGGCAGTCCACAAGTCAGTGGGAACAGCTATCCTACCTCTGTTTTATTCAATGGCCTTTTGAATCTTAGACCTCTCTATACCATAAATAGAAACTATGTCCTTCTTTATGGTATTTTGGGTAGGAACTTTGAATTGAGGGTTCAATGGGCAGCAAAATCTTTTGAAGTATAGGTGGTCAACAATAGAAAGGGGATACTCATGCACCAAGATCATGGTGCAGAGCTCCTTTCTAGACACCTCACTACTGAACTGATTAGTAGTCAAATCAACTGTTCCCTTGGCACTGAAGTTAGCCCCAAGGACTTTTTGACTACCGTCGTGTATTTTTTTATGAACACAACCGTTCCTATGAGTCCTAAGATGGGAAGTGTCATTACTAGACTTTCCAGCCAACACTTTTTACAATAGTTGCATTTTGCTTTTAGAACCCCAT